GGGGGGACGAAAAAAAATTCTGCCCCGGGCGCCCAGAACTCTGGTTACGCCACTGCATGGCACGGCCATGTTTTTGGCTGTAGAATTTATTCTTGTACTTGAAATAGGTGGTACTTGCTGCCTAGGGTGTTTCTAGTAGCAACCATTTTCTCACTGTTGCCTCTCTGGTGGGTATGCAGGTGAAGAGGGATGCAACATCGAAGGATACCATTGTTTCCTCTGTGCCCAATATTAGGTTCCGGATTTTTATTGCAAAATCCTGGGAGTTCTGTATGTGATGCTGTGTATTTCCAACGAAGAGGGCTATGACCATGGCTAAGTATTTTGCCATGTTGTAGGTCAGAGTTGATGCTGCTGACAATTGGCCTGAGAGAGGTCCCATCCTTGGGTATCTTCGGAAGTCCATATATAGACATAGGGGCTTCACCAGGATAGAGGTGATGGAACAGAGCCCGATCAATGGCTTTGTTTCAGGTGTGTAACTGCCCTCCTGTCTTCCGTCAGGTTTAGTGAGTGTGGTTTGGCAATGGCAAGGGCCGCAGACACTTTTAAGCAGAATTGTTCAGCCTCACCCTATGGCACCATGTTGCTGTAGATCAAGGCCCTAGTGGCTGAGATGATATCCACCACTGGGATGGTTTTGGGTGCAAATGTAAAATTCAAACCCTTAGCAAGGCCATCCATCTCGGGTTGGGAGGCTCTTTACCCATTTCTATTTGCTTTGCAATGTCCCAGTTTTCTCCAAGTTAATGCCTCAATAGTATGGCTGTTTCCAGTTCGGGATAACAAAATGGAGAACTGTTGCCTCTCCTTGCCCTTAGTGTGCTGAGCTAGCTGTACATATACCATTAAATTTGCTACTCTCCTCCAAGTACCAGTAGCAGGTTAGCACGTGCTAGCTCCAATCATGCAAATGCAATTAACATCTTACCTCCATGAGGTCTCTCACCCCATGCTGGTTATGATTAACAGATTATGTTGATTGGGGCAATATTCAACACGTATATATTCCCAGATAATTTTTGTACAAGTCACTTTGAACCGAGTATACGAATCGTCCATTTGCCTGGATTTATTTTTTACAGCTATACCATGACCTGGATGAATGAGAACTTTCAGACATATTTCTCTACTGCAGTTAAAACAGCCAGGGCATCTCCCAATCCCCAGCCTGCTGGATGGACAATGAAGAATCAGCAACAGACTGATGCGTTCTTTCCTCTCCTTACTCTTAAACCTACTACTGTGAGCATGTTCCTTGTCATCACATGTGCAAAATGCACAGCTGATTGGCTTCTATTACTGCCACTTACTCACTTATTCTGAATGCTGCTGTACAGAGGATTACACAAGGTTCATACTAACTCAAATTCTATTTGGCCGGCTCAAGGCTGATTGGCCGGGAAGCCAGCTTCCCCGTCAATCAGGAAGGTGGGCGGTGGGTAATGACCTGCCTGCCAGCTTCTTGATTGGCCGGGAAGCCAATCAGTTTGCTTGTCCTTAAGCCCCTTTCACATTGGCAGACCCAATCGGACCGCTCATCAGACCCAATCGGATGCTTTATGCAAGTCTATGGCCAGCCATGTGTAAACAGATGGGTCCGTTTACTCTGTTAGTCCAGGTCTTAGCTAGGTCCAGAAAAAACAACAGATCACAGATCCGTTTCACAGACCGGATCATGCCAGTATCGGGGGTAATCTGACAAGTCTGTTTACTTTTGTTTCCCCATAGATACACATGGGGTCCAGCGGTATCAGTTTTTTTTCTCTCCATTGCAAGATGGAGAAAAAACAGGAGGTAAACTTAAAGATAACTCTATTTCCAGTAGTCTTTCAGGGCAGGAAACACATCACACCTATTCATTTAATATAACTGCCTTCCACTTCCCTCCTCAGTATACCGGAGAACCGAAGGAAGCACAACTGGCAAAAAAAAAGCTGAAAAAATAGGCCCTACAAAACAGCAAACCATATACAAATTACATATAAAAGGGTGGGAATGCTGCTGACTAATGGAGACTAATGGAAATAGAGTTACCGGTAAGTCTAACTCTGGTTTTCCCTTACGTCATTTTCCAGGGCAGCATACGAGAGGATAAACAAGAACTTACCCAGCTAGGACGGAACTGCTGCCTGCAGAAATTTCCTACCAAAAGCCTGATCCCTTGTGAAGATAAGGTCCAGGGGATAATGGAAGATAAAAAGGTGGAAAAACTTGACCATGTAGCCACTTTACAAATTTGTTTAGATGTGGCACCAGCTTTCTGTGCCCAAGAAGCTGCCAATGCCCTAGTGGAATGTGCCCTGATAAATTCTGGAGGATCTGATTTTTAGTGGCACTGTAAGATTCTCCTCCTGTTTAAGCCACCTGGCAATAGAAGATTTAGATGCCCGATTACCCCTAGTGCTGCCAGAGAAGAGCACAAATAAGGCCTCTTACAGGTGTAACTCGAATAATTAGAATATCGTGCAAAAGTTCATTTATTTCACTAATGCAACTTAAAAGGTGAAACTAATATACGAGATAGACTCATTACATGCAAAGCAAGATAGTTCAAGCCGTGGTTTGTCATAATTGTGATGATTATGGCTTACAGCTCATGAAAACAGGTGACAGCAGCTGTCATATTACCATCCTCACATCTTCATTATGGCCCTCTGGGTGCCATAGCTGTTGCAAACCTCCTTGTTATTATTGCAAATGGTTATTTACAATTTTGGACCATGTGTTCGGGGTCATTATCATGATGCATTATGAAGCTGGAACTGTTCAGACACCTCCATGATGATATGGCATGATGGATAAGAATCTGCCTGTATCTCATCAGTGAGAGGACCGTGATTTCCCCCCCCATCAGCTTTTGTAGAAATACAGCCTCAGACCCGCAGGGAACTTCCAATGAGCTTCACTGTTGCCTGTCAACGTTCATCCATGTACCGTTTTCCCGCTCAGGCAGTTTAACGGGGGGAGCAATACGCGCAACCCCCTGAATAAACATACGAACCAAGGCATTAAGACGCCAAAGGACGTTGTAATAGAACAGTCAAGGCAGAGATCTGGCCCTTCACCGTGCTCAAGGCCAACCCCTGAGCCACTCCACGCTGCAAAAAGGCAAGAATTTTGCTGATGGAAAACAAGCGCGGGCCCCAGCCTCGCACCAGGCAAAATAGGCCCTCCACGTACGATGGCAAATCCTCCTAGAGACCGGCTTGCAGGCCCTAAGCATCGTGGAGATGACCGCATCAGACAACCCCGTCTCTCAGCACCTGGCTCTCAACAGCCCCGCCGTCAAAGCCAGCGACTGTAAAGGATGGCACACAGGCCCCTGGGACAGACGATCCGGACGCAGAGGCAGCCGCCAAGGGGCGTCCACCAGCAGTCGAACCAGGTCCGCGTACCACGCTCTTCGAGGCCACGAGGATGTCTTTGGCCGTGATCCGACGCAGCAGCCGAGGCAACAGGTAAAGCGGAGAGAAGGCATAAATCAGACTGTAGGGCTCCCAAGGAGCCACCAGGGCATCTACCGCATCCGCCAAAGATCCCTGAGCCTGAGGTAAGAAAGTGCTCTTACCCCCCCCGTCAGATCCTTAATGATCTCATCCAAGGAAGCGCCAAACAAGCAGTCCCCCGTAAAAAGGGAAGCTCCGTCAGAGCCTTTTTGGAAGCCTGGTCGGCCGGCAAGCGCTTCAGCCAGAACAAGCGACGAAGGGTGACCGCCGTCATCGACACAAGGGGCGCGGCATCCAGGGCCGAACTGCACAAACTTAAGGCCCTGCACCAGCTGCTCTGCCAAATCCAAGTAGGCGGGGGAAACCTGTTCTTCCGCCAGCCCGATGAAGCATTTTCACCCAGTCAAGGTCTGCGAAACCAGGGCAGACGCCAGGACCGGGCGCATCAGAGCCCCAGACACGGAAAACAAGGTGCGGGAAACCGCCTCAGCCTTCCGATCGGTGGGGTCCTTAAAGGACGGCGAATCCTCAACTGGGATAAGAGTGGCCTTGTTCAAGCGGGAGACCGGGGGGTCCACCACAGGCGGAGTGGCCCACTTGAACAGGAAACTTTTCTCAAATGGATAGCCAACCGAAAGACGTTTCCAGAACCGCAAAGGATTTGGACGGGCGTTTCCACTCCTTATAAATGAACTAGTCAAAAAAAAAAAAGGAATGTAGGGAAACACCTTAGGGGAACGCTTGCCCTTATGCGTTCCAAACTGTACCGAGGCCATGGCAGAGGTGCCAGGAGACTCCTCAATCTTAAGCGCCTCACGGATGGCGTGCACCAGCGCCGAGACCAGCTCACGTTCCTGAACCATGAGCGTCGACGCAGATTCATCCTCGCTGGACTCGGACAGAAGTTCCCCCTCCTCCTCGGACTCCCCAGACAATGCCGGGGATGGCAAGGGCAGAACCCGTTTAGGGGGCCTATGCATGAGCGCGCGCTCAATGCGCGACACAAACCCATCCATAGCGGATGAGAAAAATTCCATAGATAACGCGGTACGAACGACCACCCCCCCCCCCTCCAAGGGGCGCAGAGGCGACTGGCAGAGAAGCGCAGGCGTACAGGTAGCGCAGAGAGGTGATCTAGAGGGGTCCGCAGAGCGCAGCCCACAGCCCTCACAAGGCAACCCGGCGGGATCGTCCTTACGATCCATAGCACCCACACAGCAGGAAAAACTGCCCACCAGAGAATCACCACTAGGCCACCCGCAGTACTCACGACCCCCAGCTGTGTCACTGTCAAGCACTGGCAGCGTCCGACCCCCAGCAAGGGAGAGCAGTTCCCTGTGTCCTTCCTGTAGCGGCGTCTGAGGCCGAAAGGAAGTGTGTCCCCGGCCGTCCAGGGATGAAGAGAGCCTGGGTGGAAGTGACGCGGCAGAAACGGCACCTTGACCTATTCCAAAATGGCGGCCACGTCACCCGGAGGCCGCAATGGAGCCAGGACCCAGGCAGCCCCCCACTGCACCACAGAGGCACCCCCCTTGGAGCCCACAGGTCAGGGCAGCCCAGGAAGGGCAAAGCCACCCATCAGGAGCCACAGCCCTGAAGCCCCACGAGGGAGAGGAGGGGGGAGACGCTGGAAAGGCTGCATCCAGAAGACCCTTACCTTGTCGCTGTCCCCACAGCGCCGGCATCCACCACACCAGGTCCATCAGGGGAGTGGAGGAAGGCGGACGCCCCCGACCACAGCCGCCAGCCCTTGGAAGTGCTGTGACAGGTGGGCCGGGACCCCCTGTCATGTGCACCCCGGGGAACGAAAATCGCAGCCGACCTGCATGCGCTCGATGGCCCCCCAGGGGAGACTACCAGGATCCATCACCATCCAGCATGTCGCCCTGGTGACACTTGCTAGCAGATCCGAGAAAAAAACGGAAGGAAAAGAAAATTTCCAGAGAGAAAATGTTTTAGCTCCTTACTCCTGACGCTAGGCAAAAAACTGGAGACTTGTCAGCAGGTGGGGGGGTTGGGCCACCAGCAGGGGCCGCCCCTAGGCTGTCTGTCTTTTTGTTATGTGCCTAGCGTCCTACTCCTGCAGGTGGCGATATACCCTACCTTTCAGGATCTACGATCTGTTGCCCTGTGTCCTTCAATGAACGGGAGAGAAAAGGTGGATTTACGCGGCACATCCAAAGCACACGTTCTTGTACACATTGTCAAAGATGAAACTTGTCAGTCTCTTTATAAGACCCCAAGTCCAGGAGTGGGCGGCCAACCAAAATTACCCCAAGAGGGCAGCATCGACTCATCCAAGAGGTTACAAAAGACCCCACAACAACATCCAAAGAACTGCAAGCCTCCCTTGCCTCAGTTCAGGTCAGTGTTCATGACTCCACCATAAGAAAGAGACTGGGCAAAAATGGCCTGCATGGCAGAGTTCCAAGACGAAAACCGCTGCTAAGCAAAAATGTTATAAAAGCTTGTCTCCGTTATACCAGAAAACATCTTGATGATCCCCAAGACTTTTGGGGAAAGACTCTGTGGACTGACGAGACAAAAGTTGAACTTTTTGGAAGGTGTGTGTCCCATTACATCTGGCGTAAGAATAACACCGCATATCAGAAAAAGAACATCATACCAACAGTAAAATATGGTGATGGTAGTGTGATGGTCTGGGGCTGTTTCGCTGCTTCAGGACCTGGAAGACTTGCTGTGGTAAATGGAACCATTAATTCTACTGTCCACCAAAAAATCCTGAAGGATAATGTGCGGCCATCTGTTCGTGAACTCAAGCTGAAGCGAACTTGGGTTCGTGGACTTGCTGGGGACCCCGCAAGTCCACCTCTGAATGGCTGAAGAAAACAAAATGAAGACTTTGAAGTGGCCTAGTCAAAGTCCTGACCTGAATCCTATTGAGATGCTGTGGCATGACCTTCAAAAGGCAGTTCATGCTCGAAAACTCAGCTATAGAACATTTATTATTACCTAATTTTTTGGTAAAATTGGTAAAATATAAAAGGCGGGGTCCCGTCCGGTAAATAGGCAGCAAACATGTTAAGCCTTAAAATTGCGCGCGTGTGCGCGAAACCTCTAACTAAACTATAATATCAAAAATTTTAGAGTGTAAGCTCCTCTGTACAGAGATTGATGTGACTGGCTCAGTGTGGCGGCGGAGCGGGGGAGGCCTATGCTGTTTGACGTTTATAATCTGAGGTCTATCTTCTTCGTTAAATGTGCCTTTCTGGAAGTGGGAAATAAGGATCTTCCCCACAACACGTTAATATAGTGATAATCTTATTTGTTATTCACATAAAGCATCAAGCTTTCTGAAGGTGGTGACATTGTGAGAGCACAGAACAGCTCACAGCAAGCGAGCTCGGTAACCCTTATGTCAGCTGCATTTACTCCTGTTGCGAGCTCATGGTCACATACAACCAAACTGTGCCCTGGGCTGTGCTATTCCATAGAATGATATACATACCTATTTTTGAGGCTTTATCAAAGCAGTCAGTTAACTGTAGCAGCTCTTCAATATCTGTGCTGAGGTCAGGCAGGAGGCACTGCCAATCACTACAGGGAGGCATGTGATCTCACATGTTCACTCGAGGACTGCAGGCTCACCATCCTTTTGCACTGAAACCTGCTGTTTCTTTCAAGCTTGATTGCACATGTATGCATATTATTATTATTATTATTACAATTTTATATTGTGCCAATGGTTACAAAATGTCACAGGTCTAAATTGTTGACAGAAGCTAGAGAAGAAGGCAGCAGACTGACAGGATCACCAGGTATCTCAGATGACAAAAAAGAGTAAAGTAAAAAAATGTTTTTTGGATTGATTGTCCTTCTTATTTTTATCTTTACATACAGTTTAACGATGCATTCCTTTAAAATACATAATGTGTACATAATTAGCTAACAGAAAGTAATTCATAATAAATTATTTTATTTGTAATGATTTCTGGGATTTCAGTTTATTTTGGGAGTTATAGGTCACAAAATACAAGGAGTGAAATACAATTTTAGCGTGGAACAATTTTAGAATGTGGTATATACAGTATCTCACAGAAGTGAGTAGACCCCTCACATTTTTGTAAATATTTTATTATATAATTTCATGTGACAACACTTTGCTACACTGTAAAGTAGAGAGTGTACAGCTTGTATATCAGTGTACATTTGCTGTCCCCTCAAAATAACTCAACTCATAGCCATTAGAGAATTATGAGGCGAGTGATTTTCATAATCTGACCTGTGACAATGAAACTGTCACAGGTTGGCTCAGTAGATCGGGAGGTGAGCGAACACATACCGTCGCTCGCTCACTTCTCGATCTATCCCTGCAGAGAGCCGTGACGGTCATTCACGGCTCCCCGCAGGGATTTCCCCCCCTCTGTCTGATACTCCAGCACTGACTGGCGGAACGGACGGAGGAGGGTACAGCTGGCTCTGCCTCTGGATAGGCAGAGCCAGCTGTCAATCACACAGCTGGGTGGATCCTGACAGTATTGTCGGGATCCGTCCCAGCTGCTGCGTCTCAGTAGCTCGCGGTATACTGAGCTTTGGGTCACAGGAGAACGCTAGTTTGTGTTCTCCCGTGACCCTTAGGAGAACTATGGTCAAAAGCCCTGACTCCATAGTTCTTCTTTAATGTCTAAACCGCTGGCAACAAAAGTGAGTACACCCCTATGTGAAAATTTCCAAATTGGGCCCAAAGTGTCAATATTTAGTGTGGCCACCATTAATTTCCAGCACTGCCTTAACCCTCTTGGGCATGGAGTTCACCAGAGTTTTACAGGTTGCCACTAGAGTCCTCTTCCACTCCTCCATGACGACATCACGGAGCTGGTAGATGTTACCTTGCGCTCCTCCACCTTCCATTTGAGGATGCCCCACAGATGCTCAATAGGGTTTAAGTCTGGAGACATGCTTGGCCAGTCCATCACCTTTACCCTCAGCTTTTTTAGCAAGGCAGTGGTCGTCTTGGAGGTGTGTTTGGGGTGGTTATCACGTTGGAATACTGCCCTGCGGCCCAGTCTCCGAAGGGAGGGGATCATGCTCTGCTTCAGTATGTCACAGTACATGTTGGCATTCATGGTTCCCTCAATGAACTGTAGCTCCCCAGTGCCGGCAGCACTCATGCAGCCCCAGACCATGACACTCCCACCACCATGCTTGACTGTAGGCAAGACACACTTGTCTTTGTACTCCTCACCTGGTTGCCACCACACACGCTTGACACCATCTGAACCAAATAAGTTTATCTTGGTCTCATCAGACCACAGGACATGGTTCCAGTAATCCATGTCCTTAGTCTGCTCGTCTTCAGCAAACTGTTTGCGGGCTTTCTTGTGCATCATCTTTAGAAGAGGCTTCCTTCTGGGACAACAGCCATGCAGACCAATTTGATGCAGTGTGCGGCGTATGGTCTGAGCACTAACAGGCTGACCCCCCCTACCCCTTCAACCTCTGCAGCAATGCTGGCACCACTCATACATCCATTTCCCAAAGACAACCACTGAATATGACGCCGAGCACGTGCACTCAACTTCTTTGGTCGACCATGACGAGGCATGTTCCGAGTGGAACCTGTCCTATTAAACCGCTGTATGGTCTTGGCCACCGTGCTGCAGCTCAGTTTCATGGTCTTGGCCATCTTCTTATAGCCTAGGCCATCTTTATGTAGCGCAACAATTCTTTTTTTCAGATCCTCAGAGTTCTTTGCCATGTTGAACTTCCAGTGACATCACCCATGCCTGGACTCCAAAAGCAAAATGCCCATATGTAAGTTAAGTATATTTTTATTTTTTTCTATTAATGTCTGATGTTTTTGGCTTTGTTTAAAAACGCTGCTTTTTTACATTGGGAATGGACGGGTGTTTAAAAGTTAAAGGAACCTTTTATTTTGAGGCACAGTCCGCTTACATTTCACATTACTTCTACTAAACTACTCCTTTATTTTGGTGCCTTAAAGTACAAGCATTTGAAATGGCTTAAAAACCTTTTGATGTTAATAGCACTTTAAAGTATCTGCCCCCAAAAACAAAAATGTAATATATTTCTGCTTGTCATTAGATGCAGTGGCTGCATTAGTTTTTACTTTTTGGGCTATGAACATTTTCAGCAAATACAGAAAATGCATTTTCATTTCATCAGAAGTGCAGTTTCTCATCACTTCCTATGAGCTTAAAAGAAGGCATACAGAAGCTGGAAATTAGTACTCCAATGGATCCACTATGTAATGGAGCAACAAAAGCAGACATGTTTGAAACCCAGCCTGTGTAACAACCATGGCTACCTCCATAGATAGTGTTGATAAAAGTATAAATATAAAGTATCAAGAAAAGAAAAACCCAATGCAGCCACTACATCTAAGGACTGGTAAGCTGCAATAATAGGATTTTGTTACTCATCGAAAAATCTTTCCTCTTAATCCATTGTGGAACTCCACTTGATATAGAGTAAACTAAGGTTATACTGCCTCCTACAAGAGAAATGGATTCTAGGCACATAAAACTGAAGGCCAGTCCCCTACGGGCAATAACCCCCAATAACCTTTCACCTCACACCTGCTCATTTGTAGCCACAAAGCTCAAAGAGTACAATAGGATATGAGAGAAAGGAGCCCCGTCCCTCAAAAGACTCAGAGAAAGGAATTTTACTTTGAGTACAAAAATCCTATTTTAGTCTATTGTCCATTGAGGGACACCGCTTGACTACTACTTTGTGTCTGGCACAATTTAATTTTTAAACGTTATCTGAATTTTATGCAAGATAAATGTAGACCCCAAACAATTACATTGATTCTGAAAGCAGAGGCTCTGTACAATAAAACTGTGGCAGTTTTAGTTCGCACCATTTTGGCAAAATTGTTTATCAAATCTCTATTTTCAGGAAAAACTACACTGAAATATTTTAGCGCACATAATATAATCCTTTTATTTTTTACATTGCTTTTAGGGGCTTCGGGGAAATATTGGGGGTCTAAACAGACCCATGATGTTTCCCTTTTAAAATAGAAATAGAGATTTAGGACACAGTCATCTCTTTTTCCGTAGCCCCTGTTATCAATGAACAGGAATCCTCCATGAGTGTTCCTGTTCATTGATAACATGAGGACATGGTATGTTTACTATACCTACAACTATGAAATGAACATGAGGTGATGCAGATCACTCCCATTCATTCATAATTGAGGATATAGTTAACATACCATGTCCTCAATTATCTACAAATACTCAGCGATCACTGATCGCTGAGTGTTTATGCTCGCTCTCCTCTCTGACACAGGAGGCTGATCGAGCGGAGCAGGGAGGTGAGCTCAGCCTCCTGTGACAGCGCTGGCTGTCTCCGCCCCCACACAACACTCTGTGGGAGGAGAGCTCAGCCTCCTGTGACAGCGCTGGCTGTCTCCGCCCACACACCGCTGTTTCGTCGGCCGATATATCGGTGCATCCCTAATAATCCCCATTTGTTTTGTCAATTAAAAAAGATGGCATTGCGTCAAGTATACATACCAAACATGTCAAGCCTTAAACTTGCGTGCACCCCTGAAATAGGGAAAAATTACGCTATCCAAAATTGTACATAAGAGATACTTTGGCGGGAATCCCACGAGCGCTGTGGAAAAGGAAACACATCCATGTCAGTGTTATTCAACCAAGTTATATGGGCGAATTAGCTGGCTGTCTCGGAACTCAAGTTTCCTGTCTTAAGATACTGGAGGTGCATTTCTCCGGTTATCTATCCTTTCCCTGAGGGTTCTTTGTTGAGGTGGCAGTATTACCCACTCGGTTCTTAATACATAATTACTTCCTAAACACTTTGACAATACAATACCTAAAAATTACTTCACTCACCTTCCTGATGAAGTGAAGACATGAAACGCATTATTTAACATTGGTAAAATCACTCATTAACATCCAGTGGTTAATATTTTATATTTTAATGTTTTCTATATTAATAAAAGTTTTGTAAATTCTTTTAAAGCTGGCTCAACTGTATTGTGGTCTGTTCTCTCATCTCAAAAGCCCTTTCCAATTCTGTTATGTGTATCTTATCTAAATCAGGGTGAGATGAGACAAAGGTTTTTTTTTGGGGGGGGAAACCTAATACAATTATATTACATTTCTACACAATAGCCTGTCGAATGCACTTCGAAATAGTGGATCTAGAGGGTCACTGCAAAAGGAAACTATAGGACTGCCACAGAGATAACACCCATATACTTGGTGAATATACTATACTTAGAAAACTTGCTCTCTTGGCTAATTGGAGAGACTTCCAGTATTTCCAATATCCAGCTTGAATCTACAAGTAGCTGTTGATAGTAGAAAACAATCTTTTGTTTCAAGAATAAAAAAAATATAGCAGAAGGGAAGGAGACATCTATTCTCGTGAGGGCACCAAACCAAACTGAGCAAGTGTGAGGTGGGATGGGCTATTTCTTATGTGCCGAATGTCCCACTTCTCCTATAGGCAGCAGCATACCCCTAGGATGCTTAAAAGCAAGCCGTGTCCCTCAATGAACGATAGAACATTTTTGTGGATTTAGAAAGGCATTAAACTTGGTCAAGGTAAAATAGCCTCACAAGCAGTGCATTTTTTTCACCACGATTAGAGCGAACTATACATTAGCAATTTTGAGATGGTGTAGTAAAGCATAGATCGTGTAGCACTGCAAATCAGAACCTTTGTTTGTATTGAACACAGATGTGGTTATGTATATAAGCACTTACAAATCATGCATAGAAACACATTGATAGGATGTTCAGCAAGCTGATCTCTTTTATACAGATTTCATAACACTTGTAAGATTATACATTTTCTACAAGATTATTTTCTGCAACTTTCAGTAATACAAAAAAACACAATGAACATAAAACACGGTTAGCAAGTATATGTATAATTTATTTTATCTTTCCAGCAAAGGAAAAAAAATAAAGGACACATATTTAAAATATTCTCAAAGTTGCAAAAGAAATATATAAATTATTTGTATATATTTGATTTTTTTGTACATTTTGTTTTTCATATAAAAAAAAATGAACATTACCATTTTGCTGCTAAGTGGCATGAAAACTTCACAGAAATGCCAAAGGAAGGCATTGGTTTGCATGTTAGTTACAGATCATATATTAAAATTATTTTTCCTCTTGTACCATTACTATGTTCCTTATGAACAAACAGGTAATCTGCAAGCACTGACCTTCACAAGGACAGTGAAAGGCACATTGAAAATAAAGTTTTGATTTTTTTTTTAAAAGGAAAGAAAAAAAAAAGTGCTGCCTAAACAATAGCAGATATTATTAAAGTGGACCTGCCATTGTACAGAAGACTTAATGCTGTAAAGGAGAGTGAAGGATGTAGACAGTGCCGTTTACTTTCTCAAAGATGAAATTTTTAGTGTAATCTGGAAGTATGATGTGTGTTTTTTTTTTTTCATGTCAACTGTTCGTATCAGTGCTTTTCACTGTTATGCAGGGTGACATATACTTGTGCATTAGCAACCATACAATGAAATGTTGACCATGCATGGTTGAGCCAAAGGAATATTCCTGACATTATACATGTTCACTGTCCGAAGTTAATCATCATATCCATTTTATTCCACTTCTCATGAGGTAGAAGGGCAAAAAAAGGTTTCCTGCCACATTTACAAAACTGCTCACAGCTCTGTGAAGGTGCACACTCCAGCATAGCACAACTGTCACTGGAGCCGAATTGCACCAAGTATCATTATTTGTACAAAGGAGAAAAAAGTATTCCCATAGGAAAGAAGGTGGTAAAATATAACTGCTTCAAGGAGAGGGAAAGAGGGAAGGTTCACAACCGGCATACACTAAAACTTTAGCAGAAGAAAAAATAAGGCACAACAAGCCTTCTCTACCCACTTTTGTATTTGTTTGCAATTAAAATGACAGGTACACTTTAAGTTGGTTTGGTCTATTCATGTTTAATTGCTACCAGGTGATTCTACAGCACACCGCAATGGGATGAACTGCTTTGCAGTGCTGCAAAAAGGTAAAAGTATGACTGACAAAAAAAAAAAAATTACACATCTTTGTATGGGTTTAACAAAATATATTAACCCTAATAGCAGGAATGTTAAGGCATGTTCTGCCTTTCATTTATGAATTTAAAATGGGAAGGGGAAAATGAATTGTAATTATTATATTTATTCATAGGTTCATTAGGTTTTAAAGTGGTAAATACAATATAAAGAACAAAAGGAATAGAAAATATTTGTGATCTTACAGTCACAGTGGTCCTCAGTGGTACATTGATATAGCTTATACTGTATAAGTGCCTGTACAAAAAAAACAATGTAGATCATCATTCTACTACTGTCAGTGATGAAACGTAACTGCAAGATCATGTCCTATTTTTAAGCTAGACCTGTAGCTACAGACCCCATGGTTTCATAGACAACAAAAATCGATGGCTCCCCTGCTACACTATCTCCAAACCCCCCTCTGGGATTTGCCAGAATTCCAAAACCTTTACAAGGGAGATAAAAGGAATACTCTGTTACTGGAAGGGTTCAGAACCTTATGGATGTCTGTACACAGGATGGCTACACAGTGTAAGTAAAAAGGAAGAGGGGGCAAACATTCTACTGAACTGCACAGGGATGCATTGCAACAAACAGATGTGCCATAACCTGAGTCTGGTGGCAAAAAGGTTACTCCATTGCTACATAGTTGCTAACATCCCCCATTACTGCTTATGGCCCTTCAAAGCTTTTTTTGTTGCTTTGAGAACTTGCTAAGTTGAAGCTAAAGTCCCAGTTATACAATTTTACACTGGACACTTGGCTATTTATTTTTGAAAAACGTTCCAAAAGAAAGGTGAATACCCTAAGCTCATTAACCTACACTAAGAAAGCGGATACAGAAACCATCCAAACTAAGACATACCAGTTCTGATGTGAGGCGCTGCCATAGGCAATACTTTATTATGAGGACCTATAGCAGTACCACCCTTAGCCAACTAGTTCCTCTTAACGCAATGGCTTTCGGAGCAGGGCGTCAAAGTCACACAGTCCTCCTGTAAGCATAAACAAAAGCCTCTCGTGTTTGGTTGAACTACTTAAGCTCCCTTTCTAGAGATCCTCAGTAAGTGATGGCCAAATAGTACCAAAGGTATGCTATGTCCTGATTTCTTGACACTCCGTCACTTATAAATTACTTGCAACAGTATCTGAGTAAGCAATAACTGAAATCAAATACACAGTACTAGAAAGTGATTTCAGCACCTCAGTTTTACAGTGGAAAATGTAGAAAAAAAGTCTACCTTTTTTTGGTGTTCAGTCTTTTTAATTTAGAAATAAACTCGTACAAATAAGGTTCTCTGGATAAAAAAATACCAGTATTCCAATACAGGGGGTGGACACAATGAACACCAGTATTACAGGGTTTAATTTCATTTGTTTAGGCTAAAAAAAAAAAAAAAAATGTTGGTTTCTTTTATTTTTCTATGTACTGAAAGTTGTTTGCCAGTGTATTACAATGTGGGCTGTAATTCTAAAGAACTCCCAGAGCCAAAGACAAATGTTATTAGCATATTTTCTTTCTAGGTTGAATGTAATAATCAGAAAAATACTGCATAACAGCCTATTTCCTATGCACCTCAGCTCCATCTAGTGGCCATAGTGTGGTCAGAATCTATCTGACATTTGTTTGTCTATTTTCACACAGAACAGTGGCTTTGCAATTTGTTTATAAATGCACCCCTTTTGTGGTCAGTAAAATGGGTGATTTGTCAAACTTGCAAAGAGGACAACCAGTTTGTGCCCGTTTAGCTGGAACATTTGTATCCATAACAGCCAAAGTTTTTAAAGAGCAAATGTCTTCAGTTTTGGCTCCATGTACAAAGTATGGCAAATTGTCATTGTTAAATGAGTGGACAAAAACAAAGTGTGAATAACAGGGATGTCAAAACACTAAAGGATTGTAGCCAGAGAACACATAACTACTGCAGTAAAAATGACAGCAGAACTGAAAATCCACATTAAAAGGCCCTGTTTCCATAAAAGGGGAGAAGATCACAATGCCAACATCCATGGGAGAGCTGAAACCAACTAATTTATTGATTTTTGGCCACAATTCTTCACTGATAAAGTCTTGCGCTGCATTTTGTATGTATTAATAACTGGACACTGTTGTTTGTGAAACACCAAACAATTTGGCTGTCATGGTTAGAGTTGGTCCAACTAAGTGGGCACCAACGATTTGTCATTTTTGGAAGTCTGACAAGTCACCCATTTTACGACCCGCTAATTCTAACTGGTGCTGAACACAAGATATTACACACTGGCATACAATTTAGAGAGCATACACAAAGAAAAGATTAAAAAAAATTCAGGAGTAAGATTTATAGTGTAACCCACACAAATACACTGAAGCCCTCTAATACTTGTATTTACATTACTGTGTCAACCTCCTGTACAGTGAAGTAAACCTCCCACTTTGTCTATTCTGACACAGCAGCAGGTTCTTTTGATAGCCCACCTCCTCTACATGGACCTAGGTTAACATACCCCCCCTTGCACCTCACCCCAGCTGCCCAGTTCATCTACTAGAGACCTGAGTAAATAGACCCTGAGCTTGCACAGGGAGAAGGAACTTTCACCTGACAGTGCACGGGTCTGTATCCTACTTCTCAGGTGCTGAGCACCGTGTGCTAGAAGGAAAGAGTCATATGCATTCTTCCCCCTTATATATGGTAGTTTTTGGGGTACCAGTGTGCAAGTTTGGGTAAGAGGGGTAGAAGGAAGATAAGCTATCAGCTGAACTAGTTACTTTGCCCCGAATGGGCAAAAGGGCAGGTTTACTTTAAGCAAAACACAAATGCATTTGGCAATCTGAAAGGTTATTGCTTTTTACTTTTATACTACTGATGTGGCTAAAGGTTTACTTCAACACAAACAGGGATCCTAATGCTTTATAAACCCTGAGCCGTCACTAGCAGGGCCCGAGTGTATTTTCCACAAAAGTGTGACAAGTCCCTCCAAAGCCTTAGTAAATAAATCAACCAGCCCTAAAAGCTTAGAGAAGTTCTGCAAACTGGTCCTTGCATATCAGCCCATCGCACTTTGCTACTGGCCAGTGAAGCAGCCCATCATCGTGATGGGCCAGTAAGGTCATGGGCAGGGAAGAATGGGCTGGCCTAACCACTAGAAAAAGTATCAAAACTGCCAATGTGTCAAAACATGGTTTGCAGGAGATCTGTGGTGCTTTTCCAGTGTGCTGAAGATACCCCCAAGATCTTTAACTATATGCCAGAGCTCAAGTTAACACTTAATGTGTTGTAGGATTTTCTTAAAGCACCCTTGTTTCTATTAAGTGAAAATAAGGGAAACAATCCAAAACAGAAAAGTAACTTTGTTAAAAGAACTGCAGAAAATACTTTCAAATACATCTGTGGGATTGAAAACAATAGAAGTAATATATTCCTTGAGGAATGTAAAATGCTACACACAGTTGACTTCCGGTTTGCTTATCTCCAGTGACAACTGGATAAAATCAGCTACACAAAAATATTAAAGTAGATCACCAGCCAATTTAGTTTTTTTTTAACAGAGTGGCACAGGGTTTCTTTTCTGATGTGTTTTGTACCCTTTGGGGAGATTGATCCTCCTTTACTGTACAGGTGACAGCTATCACTGGGACAAACAGCAAGGGCAAATCAAAAAAATCATAAGATGTATTAATTCATAACAAAAATGTTGTTCTGCATACCATGACTGGCCTAAAGGACAACTATACATTTGGTGCAGGTCTCATTTAACCAATTTTCCCCACTCACTACAGCAAAAAAAAAAAAAAAAACCAAACCTCAAAATACTTCAAGTGCCTGCAGATAGGACAGCTCAGTGATAACTAATTTCAGTTTGTGGTAGACACTATTGAAAGGTTTAACCCTTTTTGTGTAATTGCTCAGGGCAGTGACTTCCACTCACCTGCAGAGCTTATAAAATAAAAAGAGGGCCTATTCCTACTTGTTTTTCGCATACTTCATATCATGAAGAATTAAATAAAAATGAACTATGTGATGCTCCCAGAACAAAACAAAAAAATGGCTGACTTAAGTCACCAACATCTACTATAGAACCTTTGGTGTTAATACAGGATAAATATATTTTCATTACACTCACCATTCAATTATTAATGCATTGATGAATGTATGGTACGCTCTGAAGCAGACAATATCTGCCCAGCAGTGCCATTTGCAATGTAGTAAGTAAATGCTATAGAGGTCTTTTATGTTTATGAAGCAATATACACATAGGCTGGGTATTGTTATTCTTAATACATTTTAATGGATCACATGTTTATGGGATGACAATAAGGCACTGCTAAGGTTACTGAGAATCTAACAGCTTGGGGTTGAAAAGTTTTCATTAGGCTTTTTTTTGGTAACCACATTACAAAAGCTAACACAGATCAGAGAATGTGATGCCTATGGATATATTACAAACAGTGCTGACACTGTCGGAGGTCAAGTGTACATTTTATCAAAAGGCATTCGACAACTGCATTGCAACAGGTGGAAACAAAACAACCGCGTCATGCAGAAGAGATAGCGTCTCTTATTATACTTCTGCCAAACTACTGCATGGCACACATCTGCATAGAGATCTACTTGATATTTTTGGGCTGGAAAAGGGATTTTACATAAGAATCATTTGGTATTATCATCTTGTGCTTAAGCCACGTTACATTTCGTCCATCTGAATGCATAAAATAAAATTCATAATTTAAATATCATTCATTTTTTAATTTAATCATTTACTACTGATGGTATATATCATCTGTGGGAAAATATGATATATATATATCTATATAGGTATATAGATATATATACACATATATATTTTTTTTATTTGTGTGTGTATGTATATATTTATATCTACAAATACATACACACACACACATTATATGACAGCCATACATTCCTGTGGCAACAAGGGGGGGGTCAAAGGTTGTCATTTGTGTCTTGCTCTTATAAACCATACTGCTCTTGTACATAAGGGACCATAGAGTATTTGATGTACTATCCAACTCTTCCTTTGTAAGAAGGTAAAGGCTTGGCCTTGACCTGTTTTGCTATCTGTGCGAAGACTCGAAGCAGATCTTTGGATATGCAGTCATCTGTTTTTGATGCCAGAGGAAGAAGACAAAGTTTATCTGAAAGAGAAATTTAAAAAAAAATAGATTACAATAAGGGTGATTTAAAACTAGTAACACACATTAAGTGAATTCTTTATATGCAATGTAAAGCAAACCTTTTTTTTTATATAAACTAAAAGCAGTACTCCAAGTTTAAAGTGTATTTCCAATTTTGCAGTAAAACTGGGATAGCACCTACTTTATATTTGTTACAGGTTCCCATTCACATAGCATGACTTAAAAAAAAATAAAAAAAAATAGGATTTTGTTCTTACCATAAAATCTTTTTCTCGATTGAGGGACACAGCTCTGAAGAATTCCAAGACGTAATGGTTATGCTGCTGTCTCCAGGAGAATAATTGGACACTATGCAAATAAAAAAAAAAAAAGCCTGCTATTTTGAAGGACATAACCCTCCCTCCTCAAACCTGCCAGTTGTAGCAAGCAGTTTGAAAGTAAATGAGGGGAGGGAGCCGTGTCCCTCAATGGACACAGAGAAAGGACTTTATGGTAAGAACAAAATCCAGTTTTCTATATTGTCCATTGGGGGACACAGCTCTGAAGAATTCTGAGCTGTAGAGACATTAAAAAAAACAAAACAAAAAAACAGAGGGGCGGGCAGTGCAACAACTAAAAAAAACAGTCCAAAAAAAAAAAAAAAAAGGAACGGAAAAAAAAACCCCCCCAAAATACAAACTGTTGCCTGAAGAACTTTTCAGCGAAAACTATCAGAGGAGGCAGAAACATGAATTTAAAAAAAAAACAAAAACTTTTCATTGGTGTGATCAGAAAACCAAGTTGCAGTCTTGGCAAATTAAAGCTACAGAGGCCGGATTATGAAATGCCCAAGTAATACTAACTGCCCTAGTAGAATGAGCAGAAAGAGGAGGTACCTTCTGCAACTCAAAATGGGAATGACAACCTGACGGAATAGTAGATCGAGAGGCTGAACAACCCTTTCTGGGACCTTCTGGTAGGATAAATAAACAAGCTGAATGTCTAAAGGAAGCTGTGGCTAACAGATAAACTCTTAATAGCATGCACAACACCCAAACAATGAAGAGAAATGTCCTTAGGATGAACAGGAAATGGACAAAACAATATCTTCGTTGAGATGAAATGCCAAAACCACCTTGGTTTAAAAAGAAAACCTGCAGTCTTAAAACAACCTTGTCCTTATGAAGAACCAAATCAAGTTTTCTACAAGACAAAGCGGCCAACTCAAAAATCCTTCTAGCTGAGGTAAGTCACAATAAAGGCAACAAAGAAACAAATATCTTGAATAGGTTCAAAAGGAGGTTTTTGTAGAACAAATAAAACCAAGTTCCATGGAAGAAGAGGAGATCTCACAGGAGGAACCACACAACTCCATTAATAAAAGCACAAATCAAAAGAATCAGAGGAAAGAGGACACTGAAATAGTACAGATGAGTTAGAAACGTGACCCTTAACCAGTTGACATCCGCGGTGTTAAACCCCCTTCAGGCCATTTTTCAGTATTCAGCGCTGCGGTACTTTGACATTTATTCCGTCATGCAACGCTGTACTGAAATTAATTTTATACCCTTTTTTAGGGACAGATAGAGCTTTCTTTTGGTGGTATTTATTCACCACTACGGGTTTTATTTTTTTACTATATTAAAAGGAAAAATTACCGAAATAAAAAAATAACAAAAAAAAAAAACAACCAGTTTCCCCTATATTAACCCTTTCGCTGCCAAGGACGTACCCAGGGAGGGATGAGGGACTGCATGGATCCCCTCCCCAGAGATTTCACCGTAGCCCCCCCAACAGTAAAAAAAATAAATACAAAATAAAAAAAATAAAAAAATGTTTAAAAAAAAATGTAACAAAATAAAATTATTTAAAAAAAATTAAAAATGTATCCCGGGATTGAAGGTGAGGGGTCAGGGGGGTTTTGCAAAAAATGGCGGCGGCCACGGGGGGTGAATGGTTGTGGTGAATGACGTTCGAAAAAACGAGCACATAGACGAGCGGCGGGCTATGGAGCCGCCGATCGTCTATATGTGAAACACCCGGCAACGGGTATTTGCATTGGTCGGGTCTTTTCCGCCCGTGCGCGCCCGCTAGGGGGAGCGCGCGAGCAGAAAAAAAATGCCGTCTGGAGATGGCAACCCACCAATGCTGCAGTGCCGTCCGTCCGTTTTTTTACAACGGGCGGACGGCAAGTGGTTAATGACATGTACGGCTAAACGTTGATCAACCTGATTGAATAAAATACAGAACATGCAGTATAGAAATGCCCATGTAAGAAAACCCCAAGGACTCACACCAATGAAAATGAACCTTTCATGTACGGCGATACATTTAACTTTTTGAGAAGATATACGAGCCTTACGCATAGTTTGAACAGAATCTGAAATGCCTCTATCCTTTAATACCTGGGTTTCAACAGCCAGTCCGTTAAAACCATCGACCGAGAAGCAGGTGGAAGATTGGAATCGGATATAACAGATCTGGCCAGGCTGGAAGAAGCCAGGGATCATCTGCCAACAGACCAACTAGATCAGCATACCACAACCTGCGAGGCCTATCTGGAGCAATGATGAGGCAGCAATGCCAGTGGAGATGAGGCAACAATGCCAGTGGAGGAAATGCATACATCAGAGTACTGATCCCACGGAGGTACCAAGTCATCCACCACATACGCCCGTGGATCCCTCGCTCTAGACACAAATCTGTCCACCTTACTGTTGTGATACGAAGCCAGAAGATCCACATCCGGCACCCCCCTTGTTGTAAATGCAACAGCATGTACTTATGTACTGTAATATGTCTCTTGAGCTGTAGATAGCACTGCAGTGCAATACTTTTATTCAATTTTTTTTCTATAGGTTTTCTTTGCAATGCTGTATGCATCCATGTAATGTTCTTCTAAGCAGGTAAAACCTAACTCAGCAATGCTCAAGATCTCAGTGCTTCATCAAAACACAACAGGTTATGGGCCCAGACACTAAACAGAAACACTGCAAGTCAACAAGAGCAGCATCCAAGCTACTGAAGGATGTCAAGCGGTTCAGATATGACGTCTGCAATCCCAAAGCTCAATACCAACACCTCTGAGGTGTCAAATTTGTTGTAATACCTCTGGATGGAAAGACCACTCAGCCAGATCCAGACATTGTCCGCTGAGAAAGTTCATCTGCCAGTTTTTGTCTTCTGGGTTGTGCACTACTGAAAGTGCCAAAGTTTATATCAAATGTACCCCAGTCACCGCTGACACACTTCTGGTGTCATCCTAGTGATTGATGTAGGCCACTGCCCAGGCATTGTCTAACTGAATCCGTACGCAGCAAACCGTTAGAAGACGGGACCAATGAAACAATGCCAGGTGAATTGCCCTCAACTCCAGGACACTGAACCGAAGCTTGGTCCGAAGACTAACAACCCTGTATAGACAAATGACCCAAGAGACTGCCCCATCCTACAAAACTGGCGCCTGTTGGGACAATTTTCCAAGTTCTAGAAAGAAACTACTTCCCTGTTGTCGCAGGGGATGTCAAACACCACGACAGACATCCTGGCTGGAACACTCAATCTGATCATTTTGTCCAGCAATAGAGGAGACTTAGCCCATGCTGTAAGAATGTTCCTCTGCAAAGTCCTGGAACAGAACTGAGCAAATGGTACCACTTCAAAAAGGTTGACACCATCAACCCCAGGACTCTCATGAAGGTTCTCAGAGAAGATCGTCGACATGACCGAAGTGACCAAACTTGATCCTGCAACTTCATCAACTTGTCCTTCGCTTGTAGGGAATCCAACAGAAGACCCAAGTAATACAAGCAATGTGACGGAACCAGGGATGACTTCTTTTTCAGAGCTCAGACAATGTGCTTCCTCACGCCGCCATAGCCAAGCCACGCCCCCCACCAGGGATGACTTCTTGATGTTCAAAATCCACCTGAAATCCTCTAAAGCCCTCAGCACCATCGAAAAATTGAGCTCCAGAGTCAGATGAGACTGTTGGCGAAGTAAAATGTCATCTAAGTATCCAATAATCAGAATACCCTTGCGATGAGAGTCCCAGAACCGGAGCAAATACTTTTTAAAAAAAAAAAACCCTTGGAGCCAAAGCAAACCCGAAGGGAAGAGCCAAAAATTAATAATGAAGGTTGCATACAACAAAAACAAGAAAACACTGATGAGCCAGTGTTTTGTAGGAATGTGTAAATCCACATCCTTTAAGTTAATGGAAACCAAAAAATCTCCCTTTGGCAGAGAGGTGACAATCGCCTGAATGGATGCCATCTGGAATTTGTGAGTACGTACATGAGCACATTTTAATCCATAATCAGACGAAGGCGTCCCTGAAAACGATCTGCAAAAGGAATGTGAATAATAACATCCTTATCCAACAGACATTGAACAGTGCATTAAAATTTGTCTGATGCTGCTGAAACATGGGAAGCTGGGACACAATGGACCGAGGAGGAAGAAGATTAAACTTTTTTTGTAACCTGTGGAAAACACCTTTCTAACCCAAGCATCTGAAATTTGAGCTTCCCGTGTCTCTACAAACAGACGTCTCCCTGCCTTTTCCATCTTCCCAACCGTCATTCTAAAGCTGACTTTTCTGAAGGCTTGGAGGTTTTTGATTGCCAAGGATGTCTAGAGGATCCGAAAGGCTTGGAAGTGTCAGACATCTTTTGAGATTGGGAGCAAAAACCCTGTTTGGAAGAACGAAAGGAACATTTAAAAAGACGGAAAAGGAGCAGACTTACGATGCTGATCCTTACATTTCTGCATGTTCACTTTTACCTCCCATAGCCTTTTTAATGTGACCCAGCGTACCTCCAAATAGCGGATCTCACACAAAGGGCAAACGCAAAAGTCCCTTTATACATTGGGGTTCCACCAACCAGCACCTAAGCCATAGAGCTTTGCGCAGGGGTGCAGAATTTGCATTGGCCCATGCTCGGGACATGCATTTCCGGGCGCCGGGCAGATTTTTTCCCCCCCTACATTTAGCCCTGCTTCAGACAAGCAGGGCTATATGTAGAGTGGATCACTTTTATAGCAGGCTGTTTGTCCACCCCCCCCCCCACCACCATCTCTTCTTCTCCAAGGTCCACCCCCCGTTGTGGTTTTTGGAATCATCTGATCTTCTGGGGGAACAGGAACCTTGGCAATGATTTCGGGATAGAGAGCGGGGAGCAGACAGAAAAACGCCCGACCTGCTCTGTGTGATCAGTGGGACAGGAGGGCTGTACTCACACCTTTTCCGACTCAGCTGTCACACACTGGTAGAATGAAGTAAAATAATGCTGTACTTAATCTTCCGTATTGGAGGACAGGTTCCATGAAGACACCTCCAAACGCTAGCACAGAGGAGCTTGTTAGCCTCTGTGTGATAGCAATAAGGTTAAGTGGAAAATAAAAAAAATGAAAATATAAAAGTGATAAGTTAAAAATGAAAAAAAAAAAAAAAAAAAAAATAAAAAGATTAAAACGTAAAAAAAATTAAATTAAAACCAACCCTGCCATCTGCATGCGAACAAACGCACGTGTAGGACATTGTGTGCGCTGAATGCCACATTGTGTTAGTCGGGCAGCAGCGCTCTCTAACTCGCACAACATGCATTAAAGGGTAAGTTCACTTTCTCAAGTAATTTAGGAAAATGGAAATACCTTTTTAAATCTGGCCCCCTCAGCTATACTTGCCTTTCAGTGAACTGTTCTTCTCCTCCGCCGGTAAGCTGTATTATCCGTAGCCCATACTGCCGTCCAGCACAGCCCTGCGCTATGGATTTTGAATTTCGCTTTCAAATTGCGAGGACTCATTGGTCAGTGCAGTCAGGTGATTACATGGACAAATGACCAGCGCTTCTTATGGTTTAAATTATTTTTTGTATCATGACAAGTAGATTGCCATGAGGGGACAAGTAGATTGGGCCCCCGCTTTAGTACTTAGTAGTTTTTGACAAAAAAGGCCACAGCCATGGCTCTGCGTATCTGAATGGAAGAGACACAAGACGACAAGCATCAAGAAATACATCACACACGAAAGGAGAAGCAACAGTCACCTGATCAATAGAATCAAAATGCGGAGCAGCAGCAGTTGCCTGATCTGCACTTAATATATTTTGTCCAAGTATCCAAAGTCTGAGAAATAAGGACAGTAGCTAATAATGGTTGAAGAGCTGAACCAGTTATCGAATAAATGGTATGAGAAAGATTCTGCAATTTTTTGTCAGTAGGATCCTTACAGAAGGAGCGCCATCAATAGGAATAGTCAACACTTTATTAAGATGAGAAATTGTTGGATCAACTTCAGGGGTAATAGACCACTTTTTCACAAAATTAAAAAACTCAGTTTCTTTCTGCTGCTGAGTAATAGTAGATGACTGAAAATTAGCCGGAATCACATCCTCATCAGAAGAAAATAAAACACCTCAGCATCAGACATAGAATCTTCCGAAAAAACAACAGCTGTTCCAGAAATATCAGACTTTGCTTCCTCAGAAACTACAGGCGAAAGAGAAATGCAACCTTTTTGACTTTTCTGAACAGGGACTACTAAGTTTTTCCAGATGAGATAAACTCTCCATAGCAGAAGAAAATTCAGCTTTTGTAATAAAAAGTGAAGAATTACTTAAAAGGGAGGTACAGGATTAGACTGTAAAAGGATTGTCAGATTTTGTACCAACAGCAATACACTTTGCACATTCCTTTCCAGAGGGGATCTCCTCCTTACATACATTAAATAGAATTGGAGGAAGGTTCTTCAGAAGCGGCAAAATTGAATAAAAACAGGCAGATGCTATATATTACACAGCTCTGATGCAATAAAAAAAAGGGAGGGAAAATACCCGTCCCACAATAATAACTGAAAAACAATATACAGTAACTCATGACCTTATGGCCCTTGCCCCTTCACCACAATAGGAATCCCAAGAGAATACTGGCATGACTGAAATAAAAACAGAGAGATGAAGCCTGGACCACCACAGGACAAAACATCAGTACTAGGAACAGAAATGGCCTGCTTCCTTATAACTAGAGAAACTTTCAGGATTTAAATAACCCAGCATGAATCTCGGATTTGTCGGCTAGCTAGTGAAACTTCCAGGATTTAAAATCTGGCATGAATCAACTAGCAGCTCTATAGAATCTTCAATGAAGAAACAATAAATCAAAACAAAGAAAGTAGGAGAAGGAGACATCCATCCTCCTATGGTCATGAAGCTAAACTGGCAGGTGCGATTTGGGAGGGGTTATGTCCTCAAAGTGGCAGGTTTTAAGCCCTCATTTCACACCAAGTGTTTTGTAGTCCTTTCTCTGCTCCAAAAAAAAAGAAAGACCCCCCATACATTTCAATGGTTATGTTCACATCTGAGCATCACATCACCTGTAGCAAAACGCCCTTCGCTTGTAGCAAGTACATGAGCTTTTTTGCAGATCATGCGCTTCTTGGCCCCATAGACGTCAATGGAAATGCTAAAAAACTCACGCTTGTGCGTAATTTTTACGGACGTTTTACGTGAGTCTGTCCATTGACATCAATGTGCTGCAATCTGCTCATTAATATGCACAATTTTATATATGAGCATAAAACGTGCGTTAAAATATGCACAACCGCGCAGCACAAAAAAAGCACTGCATAAAAACGTGCATAAAACTTGTTTATTTCTTGTTGCTCAGGTGTGAATGCAGGCTACATTTTTTACCTAGTGTCCAATTCTCCTGGCGACAGCAGCATAACCCTATGTCTCAGAATTCATCAGATCCGTTTCCCTCAATGGATGGAAAAAAAAGCCAGCTTACAATTTACTTGCTCTTTCCTAAGGCCCCATTCACACCTAGGCGTATTGTAATATGCGCGTCTGTCACTCGGGTTTTTTTACCGTGATTCGCGGTAAAAAAGTCACGCGATTCCAAAGGCTACTTGGCAGTATCCAAATGTAAAACGCCCTACAAAACGGCCCAAAGTAGTCGCGGGACCTTTTCAGGCGTGGGCCGTTTTGTAGGGCGTCAGGGACGGGCGGAAATACGGCGAGGTGGGAACGAGGGCATTGACTACAATGCAATTTATATTTTTGACCGTTTTGTAGAGCGTTCGTCGAGCGTAGAACGCCCTACAAAACGGTCAGGTGTGAACGCAGCCTAAAAGTAAAAATGTTTTCTAAACCAAAATGTATCTCTGGAACGCAATTAACCCTTTCTGCACTATAGCCAGCTACTGAGACTCATCAGCATTTTGCAAATGAGTTATTTGTGTTGTCCCACAACCACCACTCAGATACACAATTGCATTCTAAAATGATAGTTGGAGAAGGAATCTGATTTTATCGATAGGGTTAACATACACATACATACACGCAATAGATTGAACTTGATGGACCTGTGTCTTTACTCAACCTCCAATAATATGTAACTATGTTAAGCTCATCACACACCTTAAAATCTGATTTTACAATTTCCTTTAGATTTACCAACAATAATGTAGAAGGACCTGTCTGACTGGATACAAAGTGATGGAACAGATTAAGTAGGTTCTCACATTATATAGATTTGGTAAAACTAAATTTGATTGTACAAAAATTCAGTAAGATTGTAGTGTGTGTGTGGCGACCTGAATACAGATAAAGTCTCATTGCTTGTAGCTACGATAAAATGTAACAATCAATGAAAAAACATGCTAAACATAAGCAGCAATCCTGACAAACCCTAAAATCTCTGCCTCATCATTTATAAATTATACACCTATACAGGTGTAACTTAACATAACCTTTATACAGTGGGGTTCATTTATAATGTTTTCTATGTGAATTTTCACAATAGTCTAACTAAAGTCAATCAGATTTACTAACTGTCATTCTGCAATGCACATTTCACATGGCTGGTGTGCAGACAATTGTTAATAAAATACACAGTGGCCCAAGGCGATAAAAATTATAACATACTTATTAATTTCTGATGGAGTACAATCTGTAGGTTGTCTTTCGGGGAGAGTTGGCTGCTGGACCTTACTCTGTGCACTACTGTGCAAACAGCTGGATTCGCTAAAATTAAAAACATTTACTTATATCATGTATGGAAGATAAAAATTATGTTATATTAGCACAAATTATATGGATCCTACTCGGCTTTATATTTCCTCTAATAAATGGTAATAATAAAAGTAAAACACTGATCTCTAGGAGAATATGAACCATACGTAAAAGTTACATGACATGCAAAATGGCTAACAAGACTATAATATTTTTAAGTAGCAAATCAAAGATATACACAGCCAAAGAGGTCAGAGGCCACTTAAAGTCTAATTGTTGATGGCCTGTAAGCTCCATGACCTGTCTTCAGAGTGTTCACTGTTTAGTTGACAGGGCAGCAACTGTCAGACTTCAGGTAACCTCTCATACCCTGATACTCCAGGTAAAGTATCAGGCTCAGATGAAGTAAATAATTATAATTATTAAATAGGTAAGCCTGCACAGATCTAATAATGAAAGACAGGATATTCAGACTACTACATATGCTCAATGACTTATATGAAAACTTTGTCATTTGTTAGTATTCTGGTAATCTAGAAACAAACTGTTGAACCATGTGAATATGCAGCCCTAGTTTACTCAAAGACTATAGTAGAACAGAATAGATCATTGAACATAAGGTTTCATACAATATTGTTTTTAAATATGTAATGGCAATACAGAAGAACAGCACTGCCTACATATGCCAAACTCCTACTGGTCCCCAGCTCTAGCAGGTATGTTTAAAAAAATTTAAAAAACCCCCCAAAAAACAGAAATCACCAGTAGGGGTCGGGGGACAAAAAAAAAAACTATAGCGCTAATCAGCCTTTTTTAACCAGTATCAGAAGCTGTTATAGATGCAGTCTCTCTACCCGTTGTGTACTGAGCAGTTTTACTGCAATGCACCTAGAAAAGCCCTATAATTTGCCTTACTCTGGTTCTGCAGGTTTCCTTCCCGCTGGATGAATGCCCCCCTCCCCCCCCACCCACCAAAGCCGGCCTCTCTCTCTCATGTGGCCACCCACTTGCTGACATCACGTACAATGCAGGATGTTGTACATGATGATGTTAGCGGCCAGTCTACATTTTAGGCTGGGAGATGCCATCACTTTTTGTGGACTGCCCAGAGTTGGCCTTTAATTAAATATATTTTTTAAAGTAGCTTTCAATAAAAACCACCAGCCATTTCCATTCTATTGCTATATTGCATAACTCATTCTATCCATTCGACACATTGTGATTTGAGTGTACTTTTTTTTGTGATTTTGAGGTCTGTGTAACCTTTGCAAAAGAAAACACACCCATCATAAAGTTTCGTGTTCAGGTCTATCCTGTTATGAGGAGACAACACTGTCCCCGTTTCCAAATTGTGCTCCTGCATGGTCACCCTGTCCCAATCGTCCCCAGGTGGAGACTACAAGCAGCTGCGTCAACACCAATTTTGGTCAGCTGTGGTCAGCATTGGGAAGCCACTTATGAACAATGACACACAGCTGGCGTGTGCACACAGATAGGAAGTGGCTGCAGAGATTCAAAGATGCAAAACAGATGAAAAATGGAAACCGTATTTGATGGGAAACATTGTGACGCACAGTACTGAGGAAAAACAAATCTCAGTTTGGGTTTTGAACTTAATGCAAGACTTAATGCAATACAAATGTGCACATTAGAATTAGGTGAATGTGCATCTTAAGGAAATGGGGAGGACAGCATTTACTATACATCTCCGAGCCTCTCTTGGGGAAAATCAGTACCAAATGTCTGGAAAAATCAAACTTGGCTGACTGATTCTCCCAACAAGAAAGCCAAGGCATGGGATGTCTGAGGAGATCTAGGATTTCCTACAGACATACAAGCCTTCCATTTTCTGAAAGAAAATGTCCAGACTGGGCAAACATTCTCTGATGTCCTTCCTATGTACCAATGTGTGCATTCTACTTTTCTTTAGGCTAGGTATAGATATCGGTGATCCTGGGATGATTGTCCCCGGACTGTGTGATCGTGCACGATTGCACACAGCGATTGCCACGTGGCCCCATTGAGTTCAATGAGGTTATGTCCGCACGGCAATCACGGAAAAAAAGTACATGTACCTTTTTTGCGACACGCACCACACATTTTTTGAACCACGACCGTGTGCGATTGCATGGACAGTATCACGGCAGGAAAGTGAGCGATCTGCTTGGCACAACGGGGTGCCATTAAAAAAATAGAGTAAGCAGAACGCTAGAAAACGCTACAATAATACAGGCTTTTGATTACTGCTATGAAAATTACTGCTGTTCTTACCGAATTTCTAGCTGTTTTTCATTAGAGTTCTTATCTAAAGTGTCATTTTCTAATTTCACGCATTGCTGTTTAGATTCTTCTAAATGATCCATCTTCGAAGTAGATGGGGCCGTTTCTTCCACCCTTTGCAACATGAAAATAAACAGTGACCTATGGAAGATTGCTTTCATAGGACATTGGTACAAATACAATGCCTTTGTTTATGTCCTGATTTCAGTGACATGATCCTGGTTCTAATAAAATTCATAAAAAAAATCATAAAAAAAAACAAAAAACAAAAAGGGTGGAAAAGCACAGGACTAGTAGAATAAAAAGATGTTACTGATTTTGTAGATCCCATGATACTTGCACAAATGTTTAATCAAAATGAGATTTTTAAGAAAACACACTAAATCATAGCACACAACATAAAACTTACAAAATTCTTACTAAAGCTAAAAAATAAATCCTGTAACTAAAACTACCACCACATAAATACTATATAATACTAAATGTAAAACTGTATTGCTTTCATAAATTACACATCTAAATTTTATATTGGACCTTTTTGGAATAAAGTGAAATTAAGGTACGCAAAACTGTACATAAGCAAGCTGCGCAGAAAATCTGGAGGTTGATCACTCCGCTGCCTTGTGATTAAGCCTGAACTGCAGTGCTCTTTGTGCAATGAGTTGGTGTGTGGTGTGTTAAAATGATACTGACATGCATTTTATGGCAACACAATGCAACACACATTAATGCATCACAACCCACTACCATACATGGCTTTAAATGAATATGGGAAATAAAAAGATAAAAATCCTATATCGAATGTTATTATTACATGAATTAAAGTGACATTAAAGTCACGTTTTTTTCCCCCTCATTCTGTTTTAAATACTTGCGCTGGATGCTCTTTAATCCAATCATCATCTTCCTTCCACTGGTTTTAATCAGTCCCTCCAGCGCTGGTGACTGCCTCTGATCCAGCGCAGACCTCTGTGTCCCATGGAGTCTGTCTGGTGTGCATGCTTCTGGCTGCATGCATTCACTTTTTAATCTCTCCTCTTCTCCCTGCCAAGGATCTCCACTGCGTATCCGCCAGCCTACACTTCCTCCTGCACGGGCCATATGGAAGATGTGTCCCGCAGCCAGGAGTGAGCGGCACAGTGTCTATTTGACAATTTTTTATGCTTTTGCCTATATCTATGGCTTGCCAGCAGTAAATATATGCAAAAAAAAATGGAGACTTTAATTCTACTTTAAATACATAGTGACCAGAATACAATATTTTCTTTTTTAACCCCCTTAGAAAAACAAAAACAACTTACTGCTTAGAGGTGTGATCTATGGACCAATGACTTAAGTGTTGGTCCATAGATCACACCTCTAAGCAGTAGTTGTGTTTCCCTTCTTAGGTTCTTTACATTTTAGTGCTCACTAGGTATGTCAGGGTGGGGAAACAACACACCTTCCCCAGGTCTTTAGATTAAAAAATAATTTCTGTAGGGGCTACTCCTATTGTTCCCCAGCATGGGGAATCGATATAGTACGTTAATGAAAGTCCTCATCCTGTAAATAACTGGCTAACAATTTGCAAAGCAGGATGCTCTCAATCTCAGCTGTCACTGGCAGCTCAGATCCCCACTGACGATCAGATCAGCGACCAGAGTAGTTCCCGATCATGTGATTACCATGTCAAAGATGGCAAGGTAACATGCAGGCTGCATAGTGACCACATGTACATGCAAAACAAAGAAACACAAGTGTGTTTAAAAAAAAAATGAAAACAGGGTACCAAATAAAAGCCTCATGTGGTTAGGCAGATGAGACTTGTAATCGCAATGCTTAGCCATACCTCTCACTCTCTTGTATCAGAATTTCACCCTGTGTCAAAGGTTCCTCCGCTTCTCCATTCAAAGTTACGCTGCTTGTTGTTTCTTCAATAGATCCAAGACTGGAAGATGCTGCTAATGTACCCGTTTCTGCTGAAGAACACGGGGGGTTGTCTATACTTTCCTGGATGTTATCCAGGGAAACTGAGGTTTCTAAATGGAAAAAAAAAAACAATTTAGCTTATTTAAACAAAAAAGAACAGTATATGGTGCAGAAAAAAAGTCTCAATCTATTAAACCTAGATCCATCTTTGGAATTTAGCATTTGAAACTTCTCTATTATAAAATTTAAAGCAATTTGATTCCTAAAATCACTTTGCACAAACTGAAATGAGATAGAACACAACCACCCCCCCCCCCCCCCCAAAAAAAAACCCACGTACCTTTACCAGATTTATCAAAATCAATGTCACTATTTACTTCCTGAGTTGAGGGTTTTTCTGATTCTATAAGCACATCTATTCTCGTTGTGGTTTCTGAACTGTAGAGGAAAAAAAGGTTATTTTAGAAAAAAAAAAAAAAAAAAAGTAAACAAAAATGTGAACACATGTATTTAAAGCTACTGCTACTAACAGTACTTTTATAACCATGTGTAGCTCACCTGATTTATCTTTAAGGATACGGGCACTTTAAGAGAATGAGGGGAATTTATCAAAACTGGAGCAGAGAGAATCTGGAGCAGTTGCCCATTGCAACCAATCAGCATCTCTTCAGTTTGCTCAGGTAAGCTTAAAAAATGAGACAGAAGCTGATTAGTTGCTAGGCACAGCTGCTCCAGATTTTGTCTGCTCCAGTTTTGATAAATTCTCTTCATTGTATTCATCCTTTTTGTGCCTTTGACCTGACCTAACCCCTCCACAGATGCATCCTGATTCGGTAGATAAGGCATCCATCGTTTCTTTAAATCCTGTGTCACAAATCTCGCAAAGCGGGATGTAAACAAAACAACTGAGGCAAAAGGTTGTCATATTGAAACATGTACGCATGCTGTTTTTAAACTGGGGACACACAGTACTATGTGTCCCCAGTTACCAATGAACAGGAAGTGCTTTACATCACTTCCTGAATGGGTAGTAGCACTCACTACAGCGGCTTCTACTCATTCAGAAACTGGTTGATGAGTAAATATTTTACAATCACTAGTTTCTGAATGAATTGGAAGCCTCTGTAGGGAGTGCTCTCCATTCATTTAGAACAGAGGCTGCAAAAAGAGAGAGTGTGTCCTCAATTTATTTTGCCATTTCAAAAATGAAATGACCCGATATTTCCCTGTGCAACAGTGTGCACCATATTGTGGTGTACGCCATGCACATGCGCTGCATTGTTAGAACACATCGCAGTGCTTGATTTATTACATAACATTAATTTAACTGTGGCAGCGCATGGCAAAGCGTGATGCATTGCCGTGCATTGTGATATGCTTTTTTTGGGATTAAATGTATGCCTGTATCATTTTATCACAACACACACACCAAGTGTGCAAATGATTAACATAAGTTCTTTACAGTTTTGCATTACTTTTTTTGCCGTTTTGCAAAACGGCGCAAATTTAAAACCATTTGAATTAACATAGAGGAGAACTATGAGGCGAGTGCTTTTCACTCACCTCATAGTTCTAGCCGACCTGTGACAATGAGACTGTCACAGGTCAGCTCAGTAGATCGGGAGGTGAGCGAACACATATCGGCGTTCGCTCACCTCTCGATCCTGTCACGGCTCTCTGCCATGACAGGGGGAGGGGCTGGATTCCCCTCTCCGATCTGCCGGCGCTGACTGGCGGAACGGACAGGGGAGGGGGCGGGTACAGATGGCTCTGCCTCTAGATAGGCAGAGCCAGCTGTCACTCATGCAGCTGGGCGTATCCCGTCATCTAAGTCGTGATCCGCTCCGGCATCTCAGTATACAAAAGAGAACAAAAAACTGTGTTTAAAACACGTAAAAAAGGCGATAAAACACATGCAGTTGCATTTGAAAAAAAACATCTGGTCTGGAGATGGTGGAAACCAGCCCTAAATCACATACAATGGATGTTGTCGGACTATATGCAATGTAAACAGTGGCCAATCAGCTTCTTTTCAGTTTGCTCAGTTAGGATTTGAAAATGAAAAAAAGAGAAGCCGATTGGTTGCCATGCACAGCTGCTTGAGATTTTGATAACTTCCATCCAGTGTGCTTAAGCTGATAAAACACACAGACACTATATACACCTATCAAGCAACCTACCTGTTAGGTGTTACTTTTGTATTGTGAGGGTTAATACACTTAATGGCTGTTTGAGTGATAGATCTTGGTTCAAATATGTGAGACAACCCCTAATTAACCTGGATAGTGATTGTATTCACTTTATTCTGTAGTACCCTCTGAGGTTGCTGGAAGATTGTGACAGGCCCCATCTACGAAAAATGTGTTACCTTGCTCAACCATTTGTCCTTGTACCTGTTGATTCTGGATATTTTAACTACTTACCTGGTAGGCGCTATCTTTGTTTCTTGGATAATATATATTATACGTGTTGAAATGATATAAACAAATTGGTTTGAACATCTGAAACTATATATTTGCCCTCCAATTTAGTATCTTAGAACCCATGATGTAGTTGGTATGTCGTAGCAATCTTCCCTATGTTTACTTCCTTTGGACTACTCAGGGCAAATGTAATATCTCAAGTTGTAACAGCTGAAAAAATATTCATATAAGTTTATACTTCATCTTCTCATTGATATACCCATTTAAAAAGAAACATTTATAGCCACATGATTGCATATGAATGGTTTCACTGAGTTTTTAAATACAAATGAAAATATCCTCTTCTTGACATAGTATTTTTTTTTCTATTGTTATATTGTATATACTGATTGTTTATCCACCATTATCTCCTAAAGAAGTAGGAATAGATCAACAAAACAAGTGTAGTCAGTTGCTCATTGCATTCTCCATCAGTGTTGCGATTATACAGTAGACCAGGGGTGCCCATTAGGTCGATCACGATCTACCAGTCGACCGCAAAGCGAACAACGGTAGATCGCGATCGGCTCACTTACCTGAACTCCCTTCCTCAGTGCATGATGCGTCAGACACTGCAGACGGGAAGGGGCGGGACACCTCTCCCCATGTGCAGTGTCGGCCACAATAGCACCGCGGGAGAATAGGACACCGCACCCGAGAGGAGACCGCGAGAAGCTGCTGCAGTGCAGGTAAGGACAGACAGCCAGAATAGAGAAAGAGAGCAGAGAGAGAGAAAGACCACGGAGAGAGAGGGAAAGCAGAGAGAGAGGGGAGGGAGAGAGGGGAGAGAGAGAGGACAGAGAGGACCGGTTCACACCACAAAGTCTGCGTTCTAGAGTGTTCGGCCTCTGGAACGCAAGACGGCCATCTCCCTGCCTTCAGGGCCAAGGTGGTGCATTGAAGTCAAGGCACCGAAGCCAATCTCCCTGCCTGAAGTGCGATCGTCCGCACCCGGAACGCACGCACATTACTGCCTGTGTTCTGGTCCAGTGCAATCTGCAGAATTGCAGCATTTTTGCAGATCGCACTGGACCGGAACGCAGGCACTGTGAGCGGTGTGGGGGATCGCACTGCGGGCAGGAAGCGTGGCTGTGGTGCCATTTACTTCAATGCACCGCCACGCCCCGCCCCCCCCCCCCCACGCCCCAAAACACAGTGAGCCGGCTCCCCTTCTGCCCCCGAACGCAGGGAGCCGGCCGGTTTGTGTTCCAGAGGCCAAATGCTCTGGAACGCATACTTTGTGGTGTGAACCGGCCCAGAGAGAGACAGCAGAGAGGAGAGAGAGAGAGAGAAAAAGGCAGTAGTCCCAGTTTTATACAAAAAAGGTGTTTTTTTGCTGGTAGATCTCATCTACATGACAAATTGTGGGCACCCCTGCTGTAGACAATGCACTTGAAGACAGGCAACATGAGGAATATGAGCAAGGTGGTATAATGTTTTATGTTCTCATACTATGTGTGAGCCTTGTTGTAATAAGGCTATTTTTTGTTGTTTTATGAGCATTAAAAGTTACTAATTTTTAACTATACTGTGTACATCTTACAAGTTCCCTTTGATTCCTTCAAAGTCTCTTAATCCCCTCTTTACAGGTTTGGCATATACCTGGGAATGTTGGTTCTCATATACTAATTTAACAAATAACTTCATCCATATACATGCCTTACTGGACTTTAATAGACTTACTGATTTTCAGAGTGTACAAAAGGACACAGGAAGTCTTTAACCTTTGGGTTATATGGTCACCTACAGTACACAGGCTACCCTGGCACTGCAAGGGTTAACTGCTTGTTTGTGTCTAGGTAAAAAACAAAAAAAAAACAAAGATATACTCACCCTAAGCTTCGAGTCGGCTTCTTAGACCAATCCCTGGAATGTCTCTCTATTCTTTGCAGCGGTTGAAGGTCCAGTAAATCATCACGTCTATAAACTGTGTATAGATGTGAGGACGTTGAGGAACATCCCAATGTGCTTCAGAGGAGGGGACAGGCAGTAGGGAGCGTCGTGACGGATGGCTGGCTTGGAGCTTCGGGTGAGTATATCTGTTATTTTAGCATCTAGACAAAAACAGGCACTTAACCTTCGCAGTGTGGGGGTAGTCCGACTGCAAGGGTTAAAAAAATAAAAAGGGTTGGCGTTCTTTAAGCCTGCATCAGAAGAAGCCTAAACAGCCATATGGTAGAACTTCCAACAATATGTGAAAAGATGCCTAAGTGGCAGCCTTGCACATCTGTGAAAGTTTCTTGATGTCAAAAAGTCTAGTCTAGTAGAGTGCACCTTCACAGGAAAAGGTAGAACCGGATACTTGAAACCATAAGCTTAGATGATGGGCTGCCTAAGCAACCTAGCGAGGTCCACCTAGAATGACAAAAGGAATCACTTTTCCTGAAAGCATCAGTGGCTGAAAGAGGGACCCTCAGAGCCCAAACCACATCCAGAAAATAGAGACATTTCCTTTTTGTGAACTGGAGCCAGACGGAGGGACAAAAGAGCCATGTCCTGGTTGAGATGAAATGCAAAAAAACTATTTAGGTAAGAAGGGAGTCCAGGGCCTCAGCAGCACCTTCTCCCCATCAAAAACCAGAAAGCGATCCTTGCAGGATAAGGCTACCAGTTCAGACACTAGCTAGGGGCTACAAGGAACACTACACTAAGTGAAAGCAGAGAGGAAGGTCTCTAATTAGTACAAACAGCAGTTACTGAAGTTCAAAGAAAAACAGATTCAGATTTCATGGAGTCAGTGGAACAAAGGTCCAAAATAGGAGAAAGGGATTAATTGATCAGCAGCAAGTGTGATCACCTCTATAAAAGCTGGAGTTTTAGCAGCTCACTGTTCTGGAGCATTCAGTGTGTTTAACAGAATGCTAAGGAGGCAAGACATCAGCAATGATTTTAGAGAAGCAATTGTTGCAGCTTATCAATCTTGGAAGGATTATAAGGTAATTTCCAAAAAATTTTAAGGATATCATTCTACAGTGAGGAGTACTGTCCAGAAGGGGAAAACATTCAAGACAGTTGACAATCTTCCCCGGAGTGGATCTCCCAGCAAATTCACCCCAAGGTCAGTCCATGCAATGCTCAGAGAAAATGAAAAAACCCCAAGAGTTTTTCATCTCAGACTCCACAGGCCTCAGATAACATGTTAAAGTTAGGCTGGGTTCACACCTAGGCATATCAAATATGCGCGTTTGTCGCGCGTTTCGCGGTACAAAACTGTGCGACACACGCGCGGTTCAGTGGGCTACTTGGCTGTATCCCAATGGAAACGCACGACAACACCCCAAAGAAGCTCCTGTACTTCTTTGGGCGTAGGGCGTTTTGTAGTGCGTTCATACAGCCTGTAATACGCCCAGGTGTGAACCATACCCATAGGAAATAATGGGATTTTCGGTGTTTGAGCGTTTTTCAGAGCGTTCGAACGCGCTACAAAACGCCCAGGTGTGAACCAGGCCTTAATGGTAGTACAATTAGAAAAAGTCTGAACAAGTATGGTTTGTTTGGAAGGGGTGCCAGGAGACATCCTCTTCTCTCGAAAAAGAGTATGCAGTATTCAGGTTTGCAAAGTTGCATCTGAACAAACGACAAGACTTTTGAAGCCATATCCTATGGACAAACAAGACCAAACTGGAGATGTTTGATCATAATGCACAGCGCCACATTTGGCAAAAACAGCATATCAGCACAAATGCCTCAAACCAACTGTGAAGCATGGCACCTTGCAGTCACCGAGTCCACCAGGAACTACTCTTAATACTAAAGTAATTGGTATACAGAAATTGGGTCATGCAACAGCAAATCTACAACAGAATGGATCAAAAAGAATCAAGGTTTTGGAATGGCCCAGTCAAAGTCCAGACCTCAACCCGATTGAAAAGCTGTGGCAGGATCTTAACAGAGCTGTGCATAAACAAATGCCCTCAAACCTCAAAGAACTGAACGCTGTAAAGAAAAATAGGCCAAAATTCCTCTACAACGATGTGAGAGACTGATAGTCATGCAGAACACAATAACCAAGTTATTGCTGCTAAAGGTGGTTCTACGAGCTATTGAATCATAAGGTGTACTTAGTTTTTCATACATCGCTTCTCCATTTTGGCTTTATTTTTGTAAAATAAATAATTGGGCACAAACAAAGCCCCAACCAGACACAGGGGAGGCCCAGGGAATAAGGACCATCCTATAGTAATAGGGGACTCGGGTTCTAGATAACAGGCTTTACTTTCAGGGTTGCCAGGTAAATGCCTCCAGAACCAGCAGGCAAATATGGGCTAAGGACACCCATTGCAGTGGACTGTTGTCTGTGTCTTTGGGAAGATGTTCTGTACCATGTAGCAGAGAACTGAGCCCATAGTGAGAAGAGGCCCTGCGCACTTAAACGCTAGCAGCTGGTGCCAATAATGGTCACAGGTGACAGGAGGTGACCAAGTCTATGCAGGCAGGGAATGGACGAGATGCAGACCAGATGATCCACTTGGTGCTTCAGGAACAGGAGCAGCAGTGGTTTCCTCTAGGATAAATGCTGGGAGAAAGTTTTTATACGCACATATGCAACACACTTCTTAGCGGATGTTATCTAAGCCCTAATTGTAACTGCGGAAACAGAATGGTGGTGGGCAATTTTGAAATGGTGCTTAATTGTACCAACTGTTAAGTAGCTCTAGTTGCTTCAGTCCAACCGGCCTTACCCACTATGCGAGTCTTCAGAGACTGAGTCACAACAGTGGCCGTAACACAGCTCTAAGCCCATAAAACGCTCTGCGGCTTGCACAGTTCTGTAACGTGCCACAGAGCTCAGTGGGGGAAAGTCAAATTCCAGGCTAGCTCCGCAATCTTCAGTCCCACAGTGTCAAGGTATGTCTTCCAAAGCTGTTGCCGAGGATACGCCGATCCAGATGTTGGAGTATGCGTGTATAATCTTGAGTGGAGGAAAACTCACCATCAGTGGTGTAGAAAGGATATTAAATGAGTAAATATAAACAACCTCAAAAAATTGAAGACTAGCAAAAAAATACAGGTGACTTTTTCCAGCAAGGCTGGAAAAAACAAAACAAAAAAAACCATCCAAGTTACTGACACTAGCATAAAACTGAGGCATGCTGGGTAGGAGTTATACAGGGGCTGGCTTTCAAACTTTTTTTGCCAATCTCAACGTCATGTAGATGGTGGTAAAAGCCAACTGTTATAGGATTCCCGTTGTCTGTCAATGTACAATAAATAAACTTTACATATATTGTTTGACAGTTATTATTGAACACACGTGCACTACAAAACATTTGCATATAAATATGCACACCTCATTTGTTTACTGAGATCTGTAAAGTCTGCCCAGCCTTGGTCGCAATTATTAGTCGTGGTTCCATCCCATACAGATGACCCAGTATCTGCAGAGGTCACAGAGGGGTAAGATGAGGCATCTGTGGTTGTGGAATCAAATGTAGCTGTCCAGTTGGACCCTGTAGAGTAAGATATTAAACATATTAAAACAGGCATCAAAATTGTCTGCATCAAATGTGAACATTGTCTTACAGAGAACACAGTAGTACAAGTCAGAATCCAGTTATCTTGCATCTAATGGGATAACATGTTGAAAAACTATTCCTTGCTGCGTGTTTCATCCTTTTATTACAGATTTTCCTTAGGTTCTGTCATTATGCTAAAACTTCCTCCCTTCATGTTTTGCAACTTTTGTGGCTTCATCTGAGGTTAAAAGGTGCTTTTGTGTTTAAATGCTAGACACAAGCACACAAAATTACAAAGTGATGTCCAGTGGTATGCAAGAACACTGAACTTGTACAGCCTCTGGTCATCCCGCGCTCATATATTTTGATGACTTCACAGAACTGCACACACCGGAGGACATCACGGCACAGACAAGACCCCTGCTACAGCAATCACTGCAATGTCTCATTTTATCTCGTTTTGGGGCAATGATATTGTGATGTTCCGCCACTAGATGGCTTCCAATACACCACCATTTAATAGCTAGTTTCCTTTACTTTTTATAACCACTGCAGTGGCTATAATTCACTACAGTTAATATTTAAAAAAAATTTACTACATAGAACTCTATTTTAAACCTTCATGTTTATCTTATTTTTACACACTTTTTAATATTTAATTTTACCATTTATTTTCCTTTCTGGCACAAAATACATTTAAATCTATATTTATATATACATCCTGCATATTTTCTGAACATATTGAATATTAATCTTTTTGCCTATTGATACCTATATGGTAATTACCTATAGTAGATTTATAAATATACAAGTGGAAATTAAATAAGGGATATACAGTACATATACATTTTTTTTCTTTTAAACTGTAAAAGGAAGGGGTATAAAAAAAAAAAAAAAGTGTGGAAAAAAAATTGAAGACAAATGTTTGAAATAGGGTATTTGTACTATATTTTTTCACCAATTCCTGTGTCCATTGAGGGATACAGGAATATTTGTGTCATACTGCCACCTACAGGAGGTTGGGACACTGTCAAGCAAAACATTTTAAGGATAGGACTGAGGAGAATCAAACACTGCAAGGGGTACAATCATCTATGATGGCAAAATACTATTCTGTGGTATGGAGGGTGAGTTGGAGTGAGATACCAACCCTAAGGACAGGGCTTTAGGTAACATGCACTATAAGGTGAAGTAACCCCAAAGGATGAAGAGGGGCAGCTCAATTCAACGGTCTAGAATAGAAGCTACAGGGGAAAGTCTCAGCATCAAACTGAGGAAGCAAATTATGCAGAATCCCAAGCAGATGAGAAAGGGCTTCAGGTTTCAAGATGTGTGGCTCAAATAGGAAGTACACTTTGGTTGCCTACAAGGTAATATTGCAGTAGTAGATTAAGGTTGGGTTCCATCCACCAATCTCCTGCATTGAGGCAGGTGCACAGTACAAACACCAATAGCATTAGGAATAACAGTGTCAAGGGTAGGTCAGAAGAGACTCCTTCCTTCAACTGTAAGGCCTCATTCACACAGCTAAGAGTCGGCCCGTAGTACAGATCCGTGCAGCGTGCACAGCCATATCGGGCCTTTCCCGGGAAGGACAGGTGCTGCGAGTGACTGTAAGCAGAAGCCCGTTCTTCCCTATGGGAGGGTACGGCCGCTTGCCGCCGTACGCTCACCCAAACTGCACATCTGTGCGCATGTGCAGTTCTGGTGAGCGTACAGCCGCGTCCTCCCATAGGGAAGAACAGGCTGCTGCGTACAATCACACGCAGCACCTGCCCTTCCAGAGAACGGCCCAATACGGCCGTGCATGCCGCACAGAACTATACGGGCCAACTAAGCATGGTAAATGAGGCCAAAGGGATACGGTGCTGGCTCCAGGCCCCTGTAAATGGACACCCTGCGGGACTTTGTTCACCTGCAGACTGTTGGTTTTATAGTAGAAGCGATTCTGGCAGCTGAGATGCCGCCAGATCACTGTCATGGGCCCGTAAAGAGTGCCCACCCTTGCTTCCCAGGCTCCTCTGCCTCTCCTGCGGGTCCAGCAACACGGGAGTCAGCAGGAAGCGAGACTAGCAAACATCTATTGCCGATCTCCTCCCTGCTGAATGGGGCCGGAAGCAACACGACAACTTCCTGCTCCTCAGCTGTCATTCCCCTGCTAGAGAAGCCAGGAGAGAAGCTTTAGGCTTGAATAGCTTATTTACAGTAGAAAGGTTACACTAGGGGTCTAATGCACCCCTAATATTACCTTAACCACTTCTAGCAGGTTCACGTCAATACACATCATCCACTTGAGGTGATTATGCCAAGAACACTGCTGCTGCAGCCGTGTTCGTGGTGTGGTTTATGTACAGCTATACAGCCGCTGGATTGTTTGTACTGAGCGTTGCTGTGTGGACACCCCCCTAAATACTTGATTCTGAGGTCCTTAAGGCCCCATTCACACCTTAAGGCAGCCTTAAAGTAACCACTATTACTACCTAGTCCTTTACAAGCACCTTCTTTTTTTCTTAAGGTATTTTTTTAGGTTATGGGTCGAGGAATGAATATTTCACATGGAAAATTTAAAAAATGAGGGATTCCCAGTTTGCTTTTTTTATTTTAAAATGGTACCAAACGGAACAAAACTGTGAGGTTGCTCCTGGTTCTACAGACCGACCGACTCTACTCACTATGCGAGTCTCCAGAGACTAGATCACACCACTGGCTGTGCCACAGAGCCCTTGGACCTCCTAGGACACTAGCAAAAAACTGAATTAGGACAGTGTGAGGCAGGTTTATACAGGGGCTAGCTTAACATTTTTGTTAGCCAGTTCCCCAACCTTCCATAAGTGGGAGTATAACCCGACTGCTCAAGAATTTCTAACATTTATGGGTCTCTAAATGGACAATAGAGAAAGTAGAATTATATGTAGTAAACATTGTTTTTAAGTTAATCGTAGTGAATATGTAGCCACTGGCATATTCTTTATAAAAATTAAGTGCAATTGTAGTCATTAAGATTAAAGTGTGTGCGTTGGTGCTGGTCTGAGGTCTGCTGTGCGTTGTTGCTGGTCTGAGGACTGCCTGCGTTTGTGTTGGTATGAGGTCTGCTGTGCGTTGGTGCTGGTCTGAATTCTGCCATTTATTGGTGCTGATCTGAGCTCTGCAGGGAATTGGTGCTGGTCTTAGCTCTGCTGTGCGTTGGTGCTGGTCTGAACTCTGCCGTGCGCTGATGCCGGTCTGAGGTCTGCCGTGCGCTGGTGCCGGTCTGAGGTCTGCCGTGCGTTGGTGCTGATCTGAGGTGTGCAGGGCATTGGTGCTGGTCTGAGTTTTGCTATGTATTGGTGCTGGTTTAAGGTCTGCAGGGCATTGGTGGTGGTCTGAGGTCTGTCACTTTCTCTCCTCCCCGCTGGGACACAGAGCAGCACCCGGCGGGGGTGGGATGCGCCGATGTATCGGCAGCAAAATGGCACTTTCTGCATTTAGCCAAAACTGCCATTGTCGGCCGATATGTTTCGGCGGCCGATATATCGGTGCATCCCTATTATTAATCATACATTGTTTGGGGCTGATGCAAGCTAAAGTGTGTGTGTTGTTGCTGGTCTGAGGTCTGCCTGCGTTGGTGCTGTTCTGAGGTCTGCTGTGCGTTGGTGCTGGTCTGAGGTCTGCTGTGCGTTGGTGCAGGTCTGAGGTCTGCAGGGCATCATGTAAAAAAACTGTTTTTTTTATGAAAGTGCAGTGTTTAGGGCTGGTCTGGAGTTTTAAGGTAATACTGAAACATGGATCACACTAAAACGCAAGTCCAGTTTCCTTTTTTAGTACATGTAAATATATTTTGTGTGTGCAATAGTTATTACATTTTTTCACTCACAGTTGTGCTGCTAATGGCAAGTTAAACACATTCAAATAACTAGTGAGTTTAACTTATTATTAGCAGTCTATGAGTGCAAAAACTGAAATTTACTAATACTATGGTGCACTATTGTTCAATGGCACTCGGTTGTTTGATGGTTGCAAAAATGGCACTCGGTGTGTAAAAGGTTGCTGACCCCTGAGATAGAGCATAAAAAACAGAGGTGTATTGGAAATAATCTAGATGCAGATCATCACAATACCAACGCTTCAAATGAAATAATCACAGCAGTGATTGGAGTAGTAAGGTGGGACTGCATAAAGTCACCTAAACACACAGTGACTTGTGTGAGCATATTTAGTTAAATGTGTCATTTGGAAGATCATCAGAGCATATAAAAGCTTGGCATTCTTGCACGCCAGTGGATATTGTGTGTGTATAGCACTTAAACACAAAAACACAAAAGTTCTAATGGGCACCTACTGACCTTTTGTTGAAAGTTTTAGTTAGGAGGGATACCTATAAAGAAAAGAATATCTAAGAATATCTAGGAATATCCAGGAAGAATGACAGAACCTATGGAAAATCTATAGTAAAAAAAAGAGGAACAAAAATCAGAGATGATATAATCAAGAAGCTATGTGAACCGCATATTATGAAATATAAGGAAACATTGAGGATGTTCCCTCACTGAGAACAAAGTGATAGTAAAGTTGAGGAAAATAAAAAAAGTATTGGAGAGAAAGGAGAGATTTGAAATAAGTTCTAGAATGAAAACAAGAAATATGGTATTCCTTCCCAAAAATAGTAAGAATAATGAAAATCTAGATGAAATATCAGACAATCTAGTAAATAGGATGATTTTATTGAAATAACAAATAAGTTAGGTTTTAAGTAACTCTGATGGGGTAGTGTGTATCAAAATTAATTATGCTGGATATAAAGTAAGAGAACCCTAACAGAGAAAAGACTGTATATTAAAAAAAACAACTATGCTGTTATCCAAATTTAACAAGCCCCCACAGGAATTTTTTGAGGATTGCCACAGCACAAGTGTAATCAGAACTGTTACTTTAGAAACATTTCAGGCTAGTTTAAGTTCACTTTAAGGCCAAACTGTCTCAAGTGCTGAAAAACTGAAGTATAAGAGGCAGAAAGCAGTACCGTGCAACTGCTCCAGTTTTGATAAATTCCCCTCAATCTACTTGAACAAAGAACTTGCTATGACAGTTAAATACAAAGCCAAAAGATGATCAGCAACGGAACCCAAAACATTGACCGCAAAATAAGTGTAAACATGAATCCAACATGAAGTGCAGTCAGTCATGGTGGTAAAGACAATCAGGTGTGGGGATATTTGAACTACTCTGCAGATGGTGAATTACTGGATCTAATATACACTGCGTGCACAATTATTGGGCAAGTTGTATTTTTGAGGATTAATTTCATTATTGAACTACAGTGCTCTTGTATCACTCCAAAATGAATAAACTTCAAACCTGAATATTTAAGTAAAAGTGAGGTTTTGGCAGAGAATATCTGTGTGCGCACAATTTTTGGGCAACTTTTATTGTGCAGAATTATTATGCAACTAAATGGAAAACGAAAATGTTCCCATCTCACTTGTTTATTTTCCTCTGTTAACGTGAGAATAGATAACTCTAAATTTACAAACAAACATTTGACATTTTCAAAAACGAAATGTGACCAATATAGCCCCCCTTCCTTTTCAGTCACAGTCATAAGCCTTCCATCCATGGAGTCTGTCAGTTTCTTCATCTGACAATCAACTTTTTGTGCAGCAGCAACCACAACCTCCCAGACACTGTTCAGAGAGGTTACCGTTTTCCTTCACTGTATATCTCCCGTTTAAGAAGGGCCTACAAGTTCTCACTAGGGTTTGGGTCAGGTGAGGAAGGGGGCAATGTCATTATGGTTTCATCTTTAAGGCCTTTACTGTCTAGCCACGCAGTGGAGTACTTTGATGCATGCGATGGAGCATTGTCCTGAATAAATATTGTGGTCTTCTTGAAAGATGCAGACTTTTTCTTGTACCACTGCTTGAAGAAAGTGTCTAAAAACTGGCAATAGGTTTGGTAGTTGATTTCAAGTCCATCTTCAACCCGAAAAGGTCCAACTAGCTCATCTTTATTACTACCAGCACCCCCACCTCCACCTTGCTGACATCCGAGTCGAAGTGGAGCTCTGTGCCCGTTACGGATCCAGCCACTGGCCCACCCATCTGGTCTGTCAAGAGTCGCTCTCATTTCATCAGTCCATAAAACCTTTGAAAAATCTGTCTTCAGATATTTCTTGTCCCAGTCTTGACGTTTCAACTTATGTGTCTTGTTCAGTGGTGATCGGGTTTCAGCCTTCCTTACCTTGGCTATGTCACTGAGCACTGAACACCTTGTACTTCTGGGCACTCCAGGTAGGTTGCAGTTCCGGAATATGACAGCACTGGAGGATGATGGGTTCCTGGTAGCTTCACGTTTGATTCTTCTCAAATCTTTGGCAGTTAATTTGAGTCTTTCTTTCGCAACACGTTTCTTGCGACCCTGTTGACTATTTGCAACAAAGTTTGAGGGTTCTGTGATCACACCCCAATATCTGAGCAAATTCAAGAGTGCTGCATCCCTCTTAATAGACTTTTTAAAATTTTTGACTTTTCAGGTCAGTTAAATCTTTTTTTTTGGCCCATTTTGCCTGAGGAAAAGAAGCTAATATGCACACCTTGATATTGGGTGTTGATCTCCTTAGGCCACACCCTCCCTCATTACACAAATACACATCACCTGATATGTTTAAATCCAATAAGCCATCAAGTTCATACAGCTTGGAGTTAGGACAATATGCATATAAATGGTGATTTGGTCAAAATACCCACTTGCTTAATAATTGTGCACGCAATGTATTCATCAAAAGAGAACATTCTGCATTTTCCGCAGATAGGGCAACCTATAATGAAATTGCAAAGAGTAGGATTCATTTTGCAGCAGTAAAATATTAAACATGTACTGAATCTGTGCCAGGCATTTTTAAAAATAGGACAAACTTCAATGCCACAATGTCTGGCAATATTAAAACATTTCGCTGCCAAGCCCTGTGGTCCACTTTTAACCTCAGCTGGCCAAACCATTTTACAATTTTTCACCTTTTTCTTAAATTTTTAACTGCTGCTTTTAGAGCTTGTAAAAGACCCTCCAAACCATACATTTCCTGAAAGCACAGAACCGGTAGAATAAAAAGACGGTGCTACTAATTTTGTAGGTCCTTAGATTATTGCACAAATGTTTATCAAATCAATATTAAACTAATAAAAATACATAATTGATAAAAGCACACTAAATAAGTATCAGCTCACACAAGGAAACATAATTTACAAGATTCTGACTCAATCTAAAAGACAAACTGTATGGAGTTAATATTGGTACATTTTAAAATTACACCTTTTTGCAAAACGGTAAAAAAAAAAAACAAAGGAACGCAAAATTGTAAATAAGCAACTTATGTTAAAAATCTGTGTTGTGCTAACACCTGATCTGCAGTGGTGTTTGTGCACTGTGTTGGGTGTTGTGATAAAATGATGCAGGCGTACTTTTGATCGCAACACAGCACATCACAACACAAACGCACGGCAATGCATCACTACGCTTTACCATGCACTGCCACAGAAGTAATGCTATTTAAAAAATAATCAAGCACTACAGTGTGCTCCGACAACGCACTGCAGCACATTTGCATAATATGGTGCACACTGTTGCACATATATATTATCTGTGTGGGGGTGTTGTGGGCTTTGGGAAAATGTCTAATACAGACCCCTGGCATTTCCCTTTTGAAATATTAGAAATTGAGGACACAGAGTCCTTAACCCCTTAAAGTGACAGGATGTACACTGTACGTCTCCCGTCACGAAGGGGTTAATCTCTTTCTGCAGCTGTTCTGAATGAAAAGAAAGCACTCAGTACAGAGGCTTTCTACTCATTCCTAAACTGAGGCATAGCACTCTCCCCTGTTATGAATAGATAGAAGCCTATGTACTGAGTGCTCTGTCCATTCAGAAACTCATGGATGAACAGGAAGTGATGAAGAGCACTTCCTGTTCATTCAAAACTCGGGGCACATACCATGTCCCCAGTCATTTACCAGCACTGAAGTGATCAGCAGTGTTCTGCACAGGGAAGGATCAGTAAATATTACACATATTTACCAATCCTCTTCTTGGCATCCTAAACCACTCGGCCACGCACAGACCCGCTCTACATCCTGAAACTTGACAGTGTCTCTACTGCCACCTGCAGCGGTCTGTTTCTCCTCGGATCCCCGCTGCCTCTGCCTACACAGGTGGGGGAGAGCAGCAGGGATCCGAGAGGACACAGTTTGGAGCATGGAGCGGCTCTGGGTAGGAATGAGAATGCAGGAGAAGCTGTCAGACTGCAGCTGGCGGCGGGAGTGTTTGGTGGTGAATTTTAATAAATAGTTATCAGCGGCTGGCCAGCTGCTGATGACAGCTATTCATTTACAGGGGACCATCAGGAGAACCCTTCTGATATAAATTGATGGTTGCTAAAGCGACTATGAGCTTATAGCAGAAGGGTGAGAGCCACACGCTGTAAGGTATACCAATGTGGCCAGCTGGAAACAGTTGTGTTCCGCCATATGCCTTACGGCCGTGGCAGGAAAAGGTTTAAAAGAGAAAATTGTATAGTATAACTGGACGCTCTAAGATACTGCAGAACTGACCCTGACTGCAAGTTTTATCAAGCTAAATGCTGCAAGTTGAATCTCATTTAAACTTGTTATTGGTGGATTCAGACCTTTTGACCCCAATGTATCAAGAGATCCTAAGGTAACAAAGTGCTTAAAATCAATTCCTGATTGCCAGTGAAGCCCCTTGCATTCCCAGGTCAGGCTGTACACAGGGTCTAGACTTCGCCCCAAGTTGAAATTTAGGTGTAACTACATCTTTTATGGTGTAGCTATACTTATATTCCAGTCTCTCCTCTGTCCCCGATCCGGTGAGATATCCCCAACTACACTGCCTAAACCCTTGTCAAAGTCTTCCTGAGTGGGCCCACACATGCACTCCCATTTAATCTTATTAAAAGCAAGTACGGAGCACAATCTTGTACTCCAGAGATCTCCATAGGAATGAATAATTATTCTAAGTGCATGCATCAAACTTGTCCAGAAGATGTTGCTGACTAGATTGCACAACATGTTGCTGAATTATGGCTAGGTTAATATAAGACAGGGAAGGTGGGCTGGGGGTGCAACAAAACTTTAAGCCTATTCTTTATTAGTGCAATGCTACACCTCCTGTCATTCAACTCTCAAATGCCAAAGCCTCAGTGGGCTTTGACTGTTCTGGCATTTGACAGTCAAATCACAGGGAGGTGGATTAACACCAGGAGGGGGCACAATTTGTATATGATTTTAGAAGGAAGTTAAGACTTTTGGATAGCTTGGGCCAGGGATCCGTGATACTTGCAGGCGCTACAATTTGCCTGCGTTTCGGCAGTGTTATCATTGGCAGTTTCTAGATGAGGTGAAGTTGAACAACTAACCGGTACCTTCTGATGTTTCTGGCACAGGCTCATCGTTGGAAGGATTGGTACTATCACCACCACCAGAATCTTCTTCCTCTTCATCAGAGTCTCGACTGTCTTCGCTATCTGTGCTCCCACAGCTCCTAAAACAGAATATTGCATTTTCGTTTCAATAAAGTGGCAAGAGACAGTATAACAAATTTGAAATGACCTATTTAATAGAACATTCTCATACTGGCTTTAAATAGTTTTACAGGAATAAAGACCGTTTCACAATACAACGAAAGTGAGAAGTTCCATTTTTTTTTAATATGACAACAGCAGCTACTGCCTACTTTACAGTGCCCAGACACTGGAGGAAGGATCAATCCAGTCAGCACACATCACATCCAACACGTTTACCAGGAGGAACTATGCAGTACTTTTCCTTTTACTCCATGGGAATGGCTGTTATTTCTACAAGTAAACAGCTACATAGCCAACCTATGGATGTGGGCAGCAGGTGCTGTGCATATTGTACCCATCCACAGAATGAAGCATAACAATCTGCCTTTCTTTTTGTTCTGAAAACTCTGATAGGCGGTTATGCGACCAAGAGCGGGTTCTTCATAGGGAAAAAACAGTGGCGCCCCGTTATATAAACAGGAAAAGATCAGAAGGAATAGCAATAAGGGACCTGTTTGGGGGACAAATTACATACCAAAATAACTGACATTTTTTCAAAACATGAAGGCAAGAACTTTAATAAAATAATAAACAGTATTAAAATCATCCTGACTGGAGGTGAGTTAAATTTAGGTAAAGAAGTATGTTATTTAGCTGATATTATATATGGATAGAGGTATCACAAGAGTGCACAAGAGTATCAGAGTACAAACATGCATAGAGCCAAACTTTAAAGGCTGCTGAATCATATCCATGAAAACAAAAAAGCACTAGCCCACAGGTAGCTTGCAATAGCAAAAACCACAGACAGGATGTTGTGGTAAAAGGTTTGTTAGGGGTAATGTGGGGTACGAAAGCCCAAAAAAAATTTGGGGTTACATCAAAAGCGCATTTTGCAATGTTCACCCATGTTTAACATCAGCCATCATCCTTTTCTAGAAAAGCAAGTTACCTGAAGAAATCTGATTTTAAATAAAAAAATTAAATTTTTAGCTAGAAAATTATGTAAAGCCTTAAAGTGACATTAAACCCTCAGATTGTTAAACAAAAAATAGTGTAATGTGCACCTTACTTTAATCCATGGTTGTTTCCCTTCTCTTTGCTGCTCTTCCTTTTAAATCTGTATCTGTTCTCATGCTGGGCAGAACTTCTGTTTTGCAGCAGACTGCCTTGTCTCGGGAATGGATACATGGACTCAGCTGCAAAAGGGAAGTTCTCCCCCAGCATGAGAAGAGATAAGGATTTAAAAGGAAGAGCAGCAAAGAGAAGGGAAACAACCATGGATTACAGTAAGGCACACATTACAGTATTGGTTTATGTTAAAAAATCTGAGGGTTTAATGTCACTTTAATTACAAATGGTGCATTTCTAGTGCTGGATCTGGAGAGGTGGAATGTGTTGACAAAGTGGAAGCTGTATAAAAAGTGATCATATTCTTTAAACAGAATGCCAACATCTATGCACTACTTTAGGAAAAAAAGATTTTTGTACTCAATGTTGAATTCTTTTAATTGACACAATTGAGGAAAATGGTTAATCTTTCATCTTTGGGTTACACTGCCGCATACAAGAGGATTGGACACTGGCAAACAAAAAAAACAAACTATAGGACAAGCCTAGAATCACCCCCACAATACAGTCAGCATGCACCAGTTTTCTAGCAAGGCATTACCAAGAGTATGTTCAGAGGAGTGGGATCTGTGTCCCTCAATGCACTCCAAAAAAAGGATTTCATGGCGAGTCCAAAAAAAACTTTTTTTTTCCTGTCCATTGAAGGGCACAGGAAGTAATTCACCTTCAGGATTTCCAACATCAATCCAACTGAAGAGTAGGCAAAAAACAGCATACAAATGCTAAGAGGACCAAGAAAAACAACAAAGAACTGGAGACTGCCTGCAGCTTAAACAGCTGCTCAAGTGACCTCATGCCTGAAGCAGGAATCAGATGGGACGACAACATCCACCATTTAGAAAAGGTTTGAACAGAACACCAATGACAGCTCGCAAATATGGGAAAAAGCTGCTTGATGCCAAAAAGCCCAAAGAAGCACTCGCAGATCTATTAGACTTGGTGGCACACCTTGGTGGCATAGTTTTTGCCACTTGTACGTGCATACAAGTGGCAAAAAAACATGGTGGGCAATGGACGAGCACGCGTACAAACGTGCAAAAACGCGCACGAAAATATGCAACATGCTGCTGCACTTTTTCGGTCGTTTCCATTGAAGTCTATGGGTCAAAAATGCACTGTAAACTACCAAAAGAAGCTCATGTACCTTTTCGTGTGTTTGGCGTTTTGCTGCTCATTGTAAACAGGGGCCGTTGAAAATCCTGGGATACGGGTGTTTAACCATTTTTCTGCAATTTCGCGGGTGCGCGCAATTTTAAAGGTTGACATGTTTGGTGTCTATTTATCCGACGTGACCCTGACTTTTATATTTTACCAAAAAACTGGGTAATAATAAATGTTTCCTAACATAATGTAAAAAAAATTTCTTTAATTTTTCCTAATTATAGTTATGACGGAATAAACTTCAGTCAAAGTACTGCAGCGCTGAATACTGAAAAATGGCCTGGCCAGGAAGGGGGTCTAAACACCTGGTCTTGAAGTGGTTAAAAGCACTTTTCCAACTGCCCAAAAATGCCTAGGTCAGGAATAGCCAAAGTCCCACCCTCCAGCTGTGGTGAAACTACAAATCCCATGATCCATCTTTCTCCAGAAGTCATGTCTGTGGCTGTAAGAATCTTGCAATGCCTCATGAGATTTGTAGTTCCACCACAGCTGGAGGGCCGGAGTTTGGCTACCCCTGGCGTAGGTGTTAGATTGCACCTTGAAAACAAGCTTGAATTATAGACTCAGAAAAAGTCTATTTAACTCTTGGTGCTAATGATTACCATCACACAATCCTCCAGTAGTAGTGTTTCTTGTAAATATCCACAGCTTTTGGCGAGGATGCTCGTCAAAGAGACTCTGGGGTTCTCTTCAGATACATAGAAGATAAAAGCAACAAAGCGCCACCTCCTTGCGTGAAATGTTTTTTTTAATTTGAATTAAAACGGTTATAAATACCCACAATTATAAAATTTCAGTCACGCTTGTCAATAAGAGACCACAAGATCAGTGTTTAAGAAATGCTCCGCTTTGAAATGCGTAAATCCAGTCTAAAGGCAGCCGGTGGCACGATGGTATGGTAATGTGACCGGAGGCAGCTTTTTATACGCAGTCGGAGAGGAACATTCCTTAGATACTGGTCTTGTGGTCTCATATTGACAAACGTGACTGAAATTTTATAATTGCGACTATTCATAACCATTTTTATTATTCAAATTAAAAAAAGATTTGTTCCTTGCAGGATAAAGCCTCCAGTTAAGACACTTCCTCGCAGAAGTGATGGCTACATAGAACAACATCTAGTGAGTGAGAGAGGGCAATGTTACAGGGAATGAAGAGTGGGAGCTAAATGGAAGATTCCTTGTACAAAGGTCCTAATCAAGAAGTGAGGCTAGTGGTCTCTGAAACATGACTTAACAGTGCTGAGAGTTAAAAGCTGATCCAGAACAAGCTGCAGGAAGAAGATGCAGAAACTCTTAGGATGAAAGCAACAGGACACCAGGTGAAACATGCTTTGCATGCCTTCAGGATGTCCCTGCCGCTCAGAACATGGGCTTTATCAGCTGTACCATCGAAACCAGTGACCTTGAAGCAGGATATTAAGAAGGCCCTTCAGGCAGAAAATTTGGATGATCTAAAAGACCATGGAGCATCCTGCAAGAGTCGTGCTTGTCCGAAGCAGGGCTAAATATAGGAAGAAAAAAAAGCTACCCGCCCTGAACTACATGTCCTGGGTGTCAGGTGATAGGAATTCCCCTGTCTAAGGTTCAGGGTACAAAGCAAGGTCATGAAACCTAGACAGCTAGCAGTAGGTGAGGGTTGGATGGCTGGAAGCATAAAAGTGTGGAGCATGCTAGACACTCTACCCTGTGGATCAGGTCAGCGCGTAGTGGAAAATGGGATTTTTAAAAGGTGCCAAGTGACCTATGTACTTGAGTTCGCTCCCATGCTCGGCCTGACTGGTTTACTTGCAATGAGAGTCTTCAGAGACAGGGGAAGTAGTGAGGCAATGCCAGTGGCTCTGGACCTGGAAAGCGTTCAGCCACTAAACCTTTTGCCAGAACGGATGCAGAACTCATGAAAGGTAGTCCGAGGATGGCAGTAATCTAAGAGGCTCATTTTAGCAGCAGCAAAATAGAGGAAGTATTGATTGTAGAAGAAAAGATTTTGAAAATAAAAAAAAGGCACTAGCAACTGTAGGCTAGTTTTCCACACAGCAGATCTGAACAGAAGGTGCCCATCCTTCTAGCAAAAATTGAGACATACTAGCAGTAAGAGCGGCTATCTTAGGCTGGCATACAGAATTTGGTTTGCCAGTGTCCAATCCTCCTATAGAAGGCAGTATAACTTGAAGCTGAAAGACTTCCTGTGTCCTTAAATGGACAAGAAAGGATTTTATATTTTCCCAGTATAATGGATACATACATTGTGATTTTTTTGTATTCTGGGTTGCTTGCTATTCCAGAAGAGGTGCAATATAGATTTCTGGGCTTTGACCTGTCTATTATTGGATAGGTCTAGCATAAACTTGAAGGGGTAAAGTATTTTGAGCAATGTATTTTTATGCTGATGATTAGGTCTATCCAACAGATCTTCATTTTATGCCAGTATTGTATAGTTTTCAGTAAATCATAATTTGGGGTAGCGGAAACAAAGGCAAAATCTGAATCCCTGTATAAAGATTCTGTGTGGAGACAAAAATGTATATCAAAGCCTGCAATATCCTGTTGGAGGGGACAACTGCTGGTTACCTAATACAGACTGGCAAATAAAACACAAAATGTTTTAGGAAAATGTAGATGTTGATATTGAGTAATTTCCCTTTAGACGGAATGAGATATATGAGAAGTCTGTGGGTGATTTAAAAGACCGGCTTCTTACTGACACATATTTTGCCGTTTGAATAATGGATCTTCTATAGCACTTGGGAAACGTTTCAAGAAAATGACATCACCCTGCAGCCCTGAGACAATTAGCTTTGCAAGACCCTAGGAGTACCCCAGCATAGAGAGCATCACATGATGGCTGCCACACACACTTTTTCACTTTGTAAATCTTAGGCAGCCCACCTTGTTCCAGTACTTTGCATGGTGCCAGAAGAGAACCGAATTTCCTTCTCTTGCCAAATATCCTCTCCATCTGAACCGTCATCTTCATCATCATCAAACTGCTGAATGCGCTCTTTATAGCAGATCTCAAAAAGATTGGAATTAGGCTGTAGAAGACAAAGGAAAATTGTAAACAAAAGTGGTGGGTCAAGTACATTACAAATAGGGTTGCACAGATACCAAGTACAGTACTCAGTACATGTACCGATACTTTTGAGCTCCAAGACTACACTAGAGAAAAATTCAAAAATTAGAAGGCAGCTGTCATTTGTAAGGAGCACACGGAGCTCCTGGGATTTGTACATCTCCGTTTTAATGTACGATTTTGTTTTTATAGATATAAATAAAGGGATGCACAGATACCAGTTTTGCGAGTATGAGTACTGGTACTTGCCTACATTTTTGTTTATTGTCATGCGACAGTTTTTCTAAAACAATACAGAGTAATGATTTCAGGACAGTGGTGGAGCGCCAGAGCCCGGTCCTAGCTGCAACCGCTGCAACCCTGGTAGTTCTCATGAAAATTCCAAGTATCTGCACTGGTACTCGAAAAAGTATCTGTGCATCCCTAATTACAAACTTTTTGTTCTGCAGTGCTACCCTTAAATATCTAAAGAAAAGTGCTAACTTCCTAATAGTGAAAATAGTTTGCTTTGTATTATACATCAATATTCTTCATAATGCATATAAAATCAACACATTAGGCCTCTATACAACACACGTTCCAACAACATAAAACGCGTCAATACAAAATGAATAGCTCCAGAGAGAGACTTAAGAACTATGGGGTAACCTTTTTATCCCATAGTTCTCTTTAGTATAAACTCAGTATATAGCAGGTTATTGCCCGCTATGTGCTGAGAGCGCTGTAGCCGGGACGGGTGGCTGATTGACAGCGGGCTCTGCCTATCTAGAGGCAGCTATGCCCGTCCCCTACCCCATCCATCCTGGAGGATCGGAGAGGGGGGATTCGCTCACTTTCCAATCAATAGAGCCGACCTGTGACAGTTTCAATGTCACACGTCGGCTCTAACTAGGGGGATGAGTGTAAATCACTCACCCCATAGTTGTTTAAACTCCTATCTTTGCATTCATTGGAGGGCAAAGAACACACAGAGTCCAAAAGCAGTGCCAAAAAGGGTGCAGTGCAAGGACATCCTACATGGCAAGGAAAGAATTCCAAGCAGCTCAAGAAGCTAGTGGGTAATTACCTAGAAACCTAACTAAACTGTTTCAACATCTCAAGTAAAAACAGGTTTTTGTATTTCTTTGCATATTGCCCATTCCCCTCCTTAATGCACCTTTCCGTTGTTTTAAGGGGCATTAAAAGACAAAACTTTTTTTTTTTTAGTATTGGACAGATTGTTAAGGGGTTAGAACCTGTCAGGATTCTACTGCTGTCTGTACCCATCCTTGGTAGAGATACTCGATTATTCTTGTGAACATGGTGGTCACTGGAGCTGAAAGTGAAAGCAAAACCTAAATTCCGAGTAGTTGCCAGAACAGGAATTCTGATGGTAAGCCATAGTTGAAAGGTACACTCTGTCCGGCTCTGAGATATTGGTGGTTTGGGCTGTAAAAGGGACTAAAGCACAATGTCTATATTTAGATGAAAAGATTACACAAAACTGTCAGATTTTAAAGCAAAAGGAATTAGGCCTTGCAGAGCAAGCCCACCAGTAACAAAACCCTCCTTGCAGAAGTGATGGCTATGAGGAACGTCACCTTCTAAATAATGGTTGGTAATAGAATTTCACTGACCCGATTCAAAGAAAGGCTTCGAAAGGACTGAAAGTTCGAATTCCATGGGTGGAGAGGAGATCTCACAGAAGGAGCAAATTGAGAACTAGGACAAAGGTATAAGCCAATGAGTGATTAGTAGGATAGTGGAAATTAGCGCCTCAGAGATATCAGTCACTCAGCACCTGGACCGCAACAGCTATGCCATTAAAGTGATTATACACAGGACGTGGGATCAGACTTTGCAAATGAAATGCCAAAGGGACTTAAATGCTTATCCATCCCTGACTGGAGAAGCAATGACATGACCAAAAAAGGTATTAGGTTGAACCCATGGGCCCACACCACTAAAACTAAGTCAGCCAGGTTCAGTGCGCTAAACCCTACAATAGAATGGCATACCTCAGAGAGACCTCTTTCAGCAACTTGACTAACAGTGATGCCATTAAAGCCAGTGACACACAGGACGTGGGATCAGATCTTGCAATAGAAGGTCTAGACAGTGTGGCATTTGTGTCTAGACCAATCAGATCCACGTTTTAGGCCCTTCTTGGTCAATATGTAGCTAATAAAATTACTGGGATCCATTCCAGCTCAATCATTCGTGAAAGGTTCAAAGCAGGAAAAGCATACAGAGTACACTTGCTACATAAGGCAGCTGATTCCTTGATCCTGTGGTGAACTTATCTATTATTATACAGGATTTATTTAGCGCCAATAGTTTGCACAGCGCTTTACAATAAAAGGAAGACATTACAGTCGCAATACAATTTAAGACAAGATGGTAAGGAGGGCCCTGCCCCTGAGGGCTCACAATCTAAAACTACCTCGTAGTTAAAGTGATATTAAAGTGACATTAAAGCCTCAATAGTTTTTGTTTTCTTTTCCTTTACGTGGACCCTCCTTTGCTGGAGGCTGTTGCTGGTTTTCTTTAAACTGTTTAATTCCTTGTTTTCTATTCGCCCCCCGCACAGGTGCCACCATCGTTCTAATGGAGGCACCTGGGCACACAGTGGCTGTGCGCGTCCATAGACACACACACAGCCCTGTGGCAGGACACGCACCTTCCCTCTTTGATTGATAGCAGAAGGAGCCTATGGCTCCTCTGCCATCAGTATACTCTCCATGCAACCCAAAAGTCCGGGGAACGGAGGATCGCTTCGGGACCGGCGGCAAGGAAGAGCATCGCTGACAGGTAAGTGTGGGGGGGACTGAGGGGAAAAAAAAGGTCCTGGGCCGTTTTTACCCTAATGCAGAGAATGCATTAAGGTAAAAAAAAAGCCCAGACCATAATACTGCTTTAAGACAGGGAGGCACCTAGAGCTATGTCCAACATTGACAATATGCCAAAACATTCTTCAGGTCAAGATGCAGGCAACTCAATCTACCTGCTAATTCTTTACTCCTAGGAAGTGAAATACCAATCGGCATAGAATCCTACTTTCTACTCACTAAAGAATCAGCTCCACTTCTCAGGCAGCAGTCAGGCTTCTGGTGCCTGTTTGATGAGTTACATATGACTCACAAATGTCCTTCAAGAAAGTTCAGCTAATACAGCAGGGAAAACCCAAATCCAACCAGTTGATTAGCAACCTGCATTCCCCGCTGACCAATAACCTTAGACCAATAGTGAGCCCAGGAGAGGCTGGCATTTGTGGTTAGGATCTTGCATTTGAGAGGCAAGAAGGACCTGCCCAATGTTGGTAATGCCAGGTCCACTAGGAGCTAGCCAAGAAGGCTAGTTTGAAGGAGTAAGCAACCTTTTGGTCGAGGATACCCATGAATTAACGCAATGCTTTTGCCCAGACACCCATATAAGAAGTCTTCACCTTGAGAGAGTGGGGAAGGTGGATGCTTATATGTTGTGTGGCATTTTGAAAAAATCTGCCTCAAAAAAAGTGAAGCAAAGAAAGTGAATCTAAAATTGGATCTTTTTGGAGGCTTAAGGTGCCCATACACCTTACGATTATCGTACGACAATCGTAACGTGTGAATAGAGTGCCCGACCAATAGTGCTGTACAATCGTACGACTTGACAGTCAAGCATGTTTGAAAACGTTGGTCGATCGTACGATGTTCGCATGGTTGGTGGCGTTTCCGTCCGTCAAAAGTCGTACGATTAACACTGCGCATACGAAAATAATTGCGATCAATTACCGCATGTCGCCCAGGTGTTTTTTTTTAACTACCGCTGATTGAACCTTTCGATAATCGGGGCAGGATGGGGCCGTCATACGAAAATCGTATGACAGTTCGATCATCGGACGAAAAGTTTTGTCCGATAATCGTAAGGTGTATGGGCACCTTTAGTCAGCGTGCTAAGGGCCTGTTCACACGACGTCCGTTTTCTGTGCTGACCTGATCCGTACGCTCCCGCACTAAAAATGCATCACAATGTATCCCTATGTGTTTTATGGGCTACAGTTCTCACGTGCGCAGTCCGTTCAGGTTACAACAGAAAAATACAGCATGTCACATTTTGTACGGTCAGGAAACTGTCCTGAAACACAACGCGTCAAAAACGCACTTCACTGCAGCTAACAGACAGCACCACTCCAGCAAAAAAAAATATATATTTTTTTTTTTTACTGGAACGCATCAAAAACGCGGCAAAACACATAGCACCGCGTCTGCAGATCCGCACCTGATCCGGACCTGAAACTCATGTGAACAGGTCCTTAGGCCTGGTTCACACCTGGACCTTTGCAGCGCGTCCCTACGCTCTGTAAAACGCTCAACATGTGAAAACCAATGATTGCCTATGGGCATGGTTCCCACCTGGGCGTTTTACAGCGCGTAGGAACGCGCTGCAATACGCCCTACGTCCAAAGAAGTACAGGAGCTTCTTTGGGGCGTATCGGCCACGCGTTTCCATTGGGATACAGCGCGGTTAAAAAAGTGCGGCACGTAACGCGCGACAAACGCGCATATTTGATACGCCTAGGTGTGAACCTAGCCTAAAGCTACAACAAACCTGTAGCCAGTTCAGGTATTTCATGTGTAATAGCTCAAGCACACCTGGTGCAACTAATGAAGCCCTCGATTAGTTGCATCAGGTGTGCTTGAGACAACACCTGTTATGCAGATGTGTGCTCTTTGTTAGGGATTCTATTCAGGGGGTTGACTAATTTCATTGTCATTAAACATTGCATTTTCAGTAAAATTTTGGGAAACCACTTGAAACATTTGTTGTGTTGACCTATTTCAATTCCTTTGTTTATTGCAAACAGTTGAAAGGTTGTAATTCTTACCAGTAAACCTGATTTGCAATGGGGGGTGGAATAATTTTGATTACAACTGTACGAAATGGGACAAATGTTCACCTGCTGCCCAATATACCCCACCTATTTCCAGGTGCCATTGTAACAAGATAATCAATGTTATTCACGTCACATCTCAATGGTCATAATGTTATGGTGGATCGGTATATATACACACACACACAAGGAAATGACCCATTTTTCATTTGCATAGTTTTCAAACTTAGTGAAGGCAGCATTACACCCCCAAAGATCTGTATATCAGATCTACAGGGATAGTCAGTAAATGGAATCACTAAAAGATGGGGAGGAGGGTGTAGATTAACATTGAATTCAGGATCCAGCTAGGGGAATTTTTTAAAATAATAAAAAATAAAAAAAAAACACCAACTTACACTCTCTTCATCTGCATTCAGGGAAAAATTGATGTTTGCCGTTTTGTCAAATGGAGCACTGAGAAAAAGAAAAAAATAATATGCCATAAAATAGATACAATTGAAAGGCACCTTTCCTAATAACCAAACTGAAAACAATATACTAAAATGAAGGCAAATGTGGGGCCCATTTAAATATGTGTGCTGGGTTAACATGGAGTGCATTAAGGCAGCCTATTGCAATCAACGGGCTGCCAACAAGCCAAAATGTCTCATAAAAACGGATGAGCCACCAAATTTGTAATGCAACACACAATAGTGCATTGTCATGCATTGTGGCACAGTGCAACACATATGCACTGCCTTGTGTAGTGGTACTATTCAAAATAAATGGCACTAAAACAACACATGTTAGCTGCACTGCCACCAGTTACCAGGTAGCACAAGTCTAAATGGGCCCTTACAGAAAACACAAACAGGGTAGAGAAGGAATTTGTGATGTTGCAGTGCAGTTCCCTCACTTCATGCAGAACTAATGACATCACCACATGTGCTCATCTAGGCTCTCCAAGCAATAATAGAAACACTTTAATGAACAGTGCTTGGCCACAGCTATAATCATGCAAACAAAAAAACTATAATTAAAGTGCGATTTCTTGATTTCTGTTACTTTCACCAACAGTTTTGGACTTCCAACAACAAAAACACCAAAAGAGAGGATTACCTGTACTGTGATGACAATGTCCACCTGCTCAATATATCACTTTTAAAACCTTGGCACACACACTCTACAGAGGGTGGGGTTAAAAATTACTTCCAGATTTTATATATCTACAATATGGCTACACACACCACATGCAAATAGAATGTTGTTGGAAAGTCCACTTAAAAGTCTTATCGGTAAACAGTTATTAATGAACAATGGTAACTAAAATATGAAATGATGAAGATGAAATGGGGAAGAAAAAACGCCAGGCTTACAAAAAGCAAATGGGGTACCAAAGCTATTAGTCTGCAGAGAAAAAAAATGAACAGATATTCTTATAGAATAATTAGAATTTTTAAACATGGAGGCCATATGGTGCAGAAAAAAATACTGTTTCATGCCCTACCCACTTTGTTTTACCTCTTCAGCTGTCGAAACTGAGCACTGCAAGTTAGAGAAAGAGAGAAATAGCAGGCATATCAAACTGAGGTGGAAGCATCAAGCTAACAAGAAGGAAAATGAAAGTGCAAGAACAAAATCTAGTAGCAAACAGAAAGTGTACGGTTAGTGAAATTTGTGAATTCTGTTCAGAGTAACACAAGGCCAGCGTATAAAGAGCTTTTCAGGAATAAAACATCACAATACTTATACCAAAACAAAATTTGATAATTATGGATCAATTCAAAAAGCTAAATCACCAGTATAAAGATAGCTGTCACCTTTTAGAAAACGACTATTAGCCAAGTCAAATGAGCTTTAATAGGAAGTCACATGGCTGAAAAGAAAGATACTTCTTGTGTAAAGGTACGTTAATTGTTCCTATACAATGTATAGGTATCTATTCTCAAATGCAAGTAAAAATAGGCTTTTTGTACTAATAAAACCTTCTCTTGATGGGCACAGGAAGTCATCATCCAGACTATACTGCCACCTACAGGATTATTGTAGACTTGCAAACAAAAAAAAAATGTAGGCAAGCCCAGAATAACCAACCTCACTGCCAGCATGTCTCAGTTTTGTAACAAAGCAGTAGAGAGAGCAGGGCCAAAAACCGGTTGGGGGTGTGACTTGTGGACATCAACAGACTCCAAGAAAAAAGGATTTTACTGTGGGAACAAAAATCTTATTTTTTTCTTGGTCACTGGGGGACACAGGAAGCCTTGCACATCTGGGAAAGAGGTGCTTCATGCCAAAAAGCCCAAAGACGTACTCACAGACCTAGCAGAAATGCACCCCGACGAGAAAGGTTGGAACTCGATCTTTGAGATCATAAGTTTGGATGATAGGCTTCCTAAGCCACCTAGAAATGGTGAACAGATGCACCCTGTGGGTTAAAAATAAGCTCACATCCCGACCCACATCCAGACAACGGAGGGAAATTTCCTTTTGGCGAACTGGAGCCTGACAGCGGGATGCAACAATGTCCTAAATGAAGTGAAAGGCAGAAAACTACCTAAGGAATGACAGAAGTCCTGGGCCTCAACACCTTCTGGTTCCTGCAATACCAGAAGAGGTTCCATGCAGGATTGGGCTGCCAGACCAGATACTCACCTCATAATAGAAAGAATTGACTGCGCTAGAATGTGAAACAATGTACCGGTATGTGCAAAATCTACGTCAGCTAGCTGCAGCACTCACAAAAAAAGTGTATGTGCTTCCAATTGTAATGAGATCTGTGTTGTGCTGTGCCTGGTAATCTTATATGTGCTAATTAACAAAAAATATATGTATTTGTATAAACATATTCCTTTCACAAATTAAGTGCCAATATTTGAATCAATAACGTTTGTAAGTGTTACTTTGTAAATCTTTCTTTTCCTTTCCATCGCCGTCAAGAGGCCAAGCCAGAAATTTACTGCATTAAGTGTAGAAGCGACATCTAGGTGGTCAAGAATGTGTATTACAGCAGATTGTATTAGAAAGTTATGGAATAGGATATACCGTAGTTACTATGTAGGATAAATAGTTGTACACTAGTGGGTGAGAGTAGAGAGAAATGTCTCTAATAGGATCACACCAGACGTTTCTGCAGTGCAGAGAGCATAAGATTCAGAACCCACAGAAGCTACATGAAACCCTTCTGTACAAAGATCTTAATCCAGGAGTGAGAGGCCAACAGCCTCTGACACAATAGAAACGGCAGAAACCTGACCATTAATAGTACTGAGAGTCAGACGCTGGTCTACACCTAAATTTAGGAAGGACAGAATTCGACCCACTGGGGAGTGAAGCCCCGAGACTTACACCAAGTGAAGACATAATGATGCCAGGCGGGTGGGGGGAGTGGTCTCTTTTGCACTTCACAATTTGTATGTCTATATAAATGACTACTTGTATCTCTATACTGTCATCTCTGAGCCTGATGAAGGGGACCCTGCCTGGCCCCGAATGTGCTTGCAAACGAGAGATGGCATACGTCAATAAATGAACACTTATTTGCTGTAATGATCAGTCTGGTGTGCTGGTGACATTCTTCAATTATCTACAGGTCCTGGAACACCCCCAGGGTTCAGGAACTGCTGGCTGAGCAAGTCTGTCTGCCAATTGTCTATGCCTGGAATGTAAAGAGCTCAAAGCCTGGAATATGAAGTTCTGCAAGCTCTGTCTCCTCTGGAATGAACACTTTGGCCTGAGCTGTGTACAGGTTTAGACCCAAAAACTACAAATCCAAATTTCTATCAAGATGGTCATGGTTTGAAGGCCATGTGGATCAAACGTTTGATCCATGTGACAAACATGAAAAATGAGACAGGAGACTTCTAGCAAACCGTTACAGCCATCTGCTCCATGCATTCTATAAGTAAGGGATCGACCTTGGCAGCAGTTACATCTCTTAAGGGATATTGATAACCCAGACATGGTTGGAAAAAGCCAGTCACAACCAGAATCGGATAAAGATCATGGCCCGCCATTAAAAACAATGCTCTAGAATGGGCATTCTCAGTGGGGACATAGTACTTAATCCTCACTAAAGGGTGAACAAATAGCTTGTCGGGATGTTTCAAATCTCCACAGAGAAATAGTTGGAAAAGCAGATGCAAAAGGGAAAGACCTTGCATCCTTACGACATTTAAGCAACCCAAGACTGAAAAAAGCAATGGTAGAAGCAACAAGCTGATCCTCTAGTTTAAAGTGGTGTGCACTGCATCAATAGGAGCTGAAGAGGTAATACGAGTACCAGTAGACTGCAACTCCTCAGGGGCAAGATCAGTTAAGGACTAGAGCAACTCAGAATTAGAGTCTCTGCAGCAGATGGCTTGGAAGCTGCTCAGGCCACAGGCAACAGAATCTTGAGTCACTCATCGGAGTCAGCAAATAACTCGATAATTTGGGTCATAAAATCTTGCATAAAGAACTCAGCCTCACCCAGTACAGTGTGGTGTTCACATCTGCATAATATCCCACCCAGAGTATGTCGGTGCTCAGTCCCACAGCATTAAACCCTTCCACAGCAAAAAGGGAAGAAACAGGGATTAATGGCACCCAAGCGAGCCAATACAAATTGAGGTAGTTCCCGATGCTTGGACCAACCAGCCACTCAGTGAGTCTTCAGGGATAAGGCAGCCAATGCCAAAACCTGGAGAGCACTTCGCTGTTAGTTTTTACCATAACTGAGACTGAAAAGCACCCAATGAACTTTCAGGCTTTCCCCACATGTCTAGTCCAGTGGGGTTCAGATGTGCTACTCCAAAAAGGCAGGCTGAGGGTGACAGTCAGAAAGAAGCCTGTAGAGAGGAATGATAACGTACGATAACGTCTCAACACAGCAGAGCGGTAGAAAAGACATCCCTAGGACACCAGCATAAAAAAAAAAAAAAAACAACAGGCAGGCTGGGAGTGGGAGGGGTTATCCTGGTCTGGCCACAGTTTTTTTTGTTCTGTTTGCAGTGTCCAATCCTCCTGTAGGTGGCAGGTTTAACCCAAAGTTTAAAGACTTACTGTGTCCCTCAATGAACAAGGAAATTATTTTGGACCCAATTTATATTTTGGTTTTAAAGGTTTGTTTTTAAACCTTTTTTTAATATATACTTTATATGACGAAGGGCAAGATAAAGGAGTCCCCGCATACAATGAATTTTTTTCTAAAGACAGGGCAGTACAAGTTTTCTTCCAGATACTTTGAGGGTTAATTTATTAGAGGAGCAAATCATGTTTATTTTTCAAAGCGAGTTTTCACATAGCTTAGTAAAGAAACATGAAAATTCACTTTTCAGAGAATACTCAATTATGTGCAAGGAAAGTTAAGGGCCCGTTTACACTTTTCCAACGAGGTGCATTGCAGAAATGGCACCACAACACACTAAGGCAAAGCAGTTCTGATACATGCATTGCAGTGAACGATGGTCGGTAATGCCCTACCATGAATTGTGGTGCTTGCGTCAGAAAAAAATGCTGCACATCTTTTTTTGGTTGTCCATTGCAATGCATTGGCTACCTGCCCTAAAGCATGGTAACACGTCAGTGTGTAAGCGTGTGTAGAAAAGTACAGGGACAGTGAGACAACTGCTATGAAGAGGTCCAATCTCCTTTACAGAGTGTGGTCAGGAATGAGGGGAGGGTCACACTGCTGTCACCCTCGATTTCAGCTTCTTCTGCACACAGGTTAAAAATAAAAGAATGCAAGGAGAGACAACTTTAAGATGAAAGTAATACATATACTGTTTTCGGGATAAATTAAACTTTCTTTTGGCAATATTGTCTTGCAAAAATTACTATAATATAAATATACGTAAAAATTGTGTTACTGTACATAAAAAAAAAATCTATAATTTGTTCAGTTTTTGACCCTAAAATTACCTTTCTGGTACAAAGCATTGCAATGTTGTTTACAAATGAAATAAAATGTATTTCAAAGTTGTGCATTTTTTTTTAAAAAGACAAAAAAAAAAAAGTTTAAATATTAAAAATAATAAAAGAGTTAAAAGGATTAACCAAGGGTTATGAGAGAGAGAGAAGGGGAGGGGGAGAGAGAGAGAAGGGGAGAGAGAGATTTGAATGCAACCAATCGATTAGTTGAAAAAAATTGGGCAACTAATCGATTATGAAAATAACCGTTAGCTGCAGCCCTATATGCAGGTGAACCCCGTTGAATCTCAAATTAATGGAATTAGAGTAAATACAAAGTAACAATTCTATTACTTTGTGAACATTGTTCAAAAGCTCAGTTCTTGACAGCAGTGGCTGCTGACAGCTGCTGTATTACTCTGCAAATCCTGGCTCTCATTTTGACAGATGAAATAGTTTGCTTGTAAAAGTGGCGTGGGAAGCGCAAGCAGTGGTAAAAAGACAGGACATGCTACAAATGTCATGTGTACTTATATCCATTATACCATAATTTTTATGGGCATACGTGGCATATCTGCAACTGGTTAACGCAGTGCTAAAAAAAAAAGTTGACAGAATATCAGAAATTAATATTAAAAAAACACTAACTTGACACTTTCTTCTTGCTCTCCAAACTCCTCATCGTTGAAACCAAAATGATCGATAAAAGCAGATGTCATCTGCTGCATCTGGTAGTCCACAAATGCCTGGAGAAAACACATCATGCAATAAATGATGGGCACAGTATTTGGCCTGGTATAAAATAAATAAAGCAGTCATCACCTGCTGCAGTACAGTCTCTTGGGGAAAGCTAAATTCCTTTAGGTCGTTATCTTCATCATCACTGGAAGAGTGCATATTTCTTGTGTTTACCTGTAGAATACACACAAAATTCACTGATGTATACAAAGTTTATTTTATAGAATGGAAAGCAGGCTGTACCATTGTAGAAATGTACTGACACTTTAGAGCATACTTTTCTAAAGTTTATAAAACATTTCTGATTTTACTAGGGCACACTGATTGGTATTAAGTAGATGTGACATCTTGTGTGCTGTGTTGTTTAAGTAGGTAAAAGATTGCCAGGTATGTGTTAGACTATTTGGATGAAAGAAGAGATTTTATAAATCCCAGTTTAAAGTAGAGGGTGCATTATATGTCCAGATGGAAAATACAGGGGGTTTAACTAAAAATCTCTTAAAAAAGTGATAGGAAACCAAAGTCAGTAGAATTCAAACGCTTCATTAAGATGCAAAAGGAAAAAAACAAAAAAAAGTCAAAGTACCGTATTTTTCCGTCTATAAGACGCCCCCATGTATAGGATGCCCCCCACTTTTCTTACCCAAAATTCAGAAATCAATATTTTCCATGCTCTTTTGCATAACTGATTACATCCAGTTTAAATTTTGCAGAGTAAGATAGCTGCTTCCTGGTATTGGTATTTTTTTTGTTTTCTGACATTTTATGGGCTCAGAATGCTCCGACATTACCGCTCCCTGTTGCATCTGGGCACTGGCTACAGGCTCTGCGCAGCATCAGCTGAAGTCGGGTACATAAGGCTCATGATTTAGAGGAAACCTGTTAGCTTGTCTCTGCAATCGGAAGTTTCACTCGTGAGGCTAGTTTGCAGAGGTATCGGCAGTTTCGCAACCGCGGTTCTCCTCTGGGCCCCCCATGTATAAGACGCCCCTCCATTTTTAGGTAAATATTTTTATGAAAAAGTATAGTCTTATACAGGGAAAAATACAGTAATTCGCAGGTGATCCACTCCCTTTTTGGTTGTCTGGTGACTAACCCCACCTCATCCCACTTAACTATACACTCAAATTCTAAAGCACCGGGGCTTCAACAGCCAAGCCACCAAAGCCAGTAACCTTGAAGCAGAATGGCAAACCAGTCCTTGGGACAGAAGGTCTGGCTGATCTGGGAAAGCCCGCTAGGAGCCCAACGATGCCTGCGTAACACAGCCGCCTGGGCCAATTTGATGCAACGAGATTTACCAAGTTGCCCTCCATCTCAAGCTTGTGGAACAGACAAGGAATGAGATTAATAGGAAGGAATTCGTAAATCAGACTATACTGATTCAACTGCTACCGATAACGGATCCTTGCATCTGGACACAAACTAGCTTAGCTTAGTGTTGAACATGAACATCTGAAGATCCACATCTGGTGTTCCTCACCTGCAGCAGAGATCTAGAAACACTTTTTTGGTGGAGACCATACTCCAGATGTCACCTTAGGAAGTCCTCGTGCCAACTGTCCATACCAGGAATTTGTACGGTGGACAGGGCAGGAATGTAGAGTTCAGTCTAAGCCAATAGCTGTTTGGCTTCCCTTTGACCAGGTCCCCTGCATGACTAAAAGGTTTTCAAGACTCCTCCCAAACCCATCTAGCTGGCATTCATCGTAAAGATGTCCCAGACAAACAGAAGGACTACCCTAACTCCAAGGTTGGATTTGTGAGCCATCAGGTTTTGGGTGAAAGATGCACAGGCAGATCCAGAGAGTGTGATTTGTCCCACACAGGCAGAATAAGTTGCAATGGTCTGGAGTGGAATTGGGAGTACAGGACTGCTATAAAAAAGGAGGCTACCAAAAGACTCGGAATTCTGTACTGTAGGTTGCAAACATTTGATAATGTTCAGAAGAGTAACGAGCCAGTCTAGAAAAGCCTTGAACTGGGCAGCATCAAGAAGGTGGCCAGATTCTCTAATTTATAAGGGAGTTCCATAGCTTACTTCTGGAGTATGAAGATCTAGCCGAATCAATAGAGTCTGAAGCATACTTTGGATGTTGTCTGATAGCCACTGGTTTTCTCAACAGGAAGATATATAAATAACCCACAATGTGACCTCCTTGATGAAGGTGTCAAGGGAGGTTATGAAGGTGTTCAAAGGGTATGTGGATGCGGAGTCTCTTACACTGCTATTCTGCAGACCGGTATTTTAGCCAGAGGCTCCTCAACACGTGAACAAACAGGACCCTTATCCTAGAGATAAGGTAAGCCACACAAAAATAGAGGGCAGTGAGCAAAAGTAACATTTTTTACAAAACTAAAGCTTCTGGAGAGGGTCCATTCAGATGTTTTAGTCCTATCCTTGATGCCACAGACCTCCTCGGGATTGCTCCTGAGGAAGTCGTCCTGTGACAAAATGCCTTGAACGAGGTAACAGCACCATGACATCACAAATCGGTGGACGGTTACTTGCACACACAGAGATGAAGTATAATAGTCCGGGAGACTGCAGTTATACCTTAGTGCTGGGGGGGGGAGGGCACTTATGGTGTGCAAGCGATTTTAAATGGCATTCATTTTCATTTTGAACATTTAATTAACTGGTTGTGATATGATGGTCTTCTTTCTTTCTAATCTATTTAAATGTATGTTATTCTGAAACCTTTTGAAGAGTGGTTCCTGTACCGACAGTGGTGGATTTAAATTTTACAAATAAAAGCCTGCTAAGACCTACTTATTAGTACTTAATATTTTGGGATTGTTGGAGACAGCTTTTACCATCAAATGGTCAGCTCTATGACTAAATTACCAGGACAACTTAAACCGTTGTTTGAAATCTACATCACTTAGATTATTTTCCTTAAAACGCTTTCACAGGGGCTGATCAGGAGAGGATCAGTCAGGAGTGGATGTCACTGTTGTGACATGTGTCCGTAGTTTTTTCTCCATCTTACGATGCAGGAAAAAAATGAAACTGACGCACTCCATGGGTGTCTATGGGGAAATCGAAGTAAACAGACATGTTTCTGTTTACTTCAGATTACCTCTGATCCTGCACAATCCGGCGCGATGAGCAGTTCGTTTTTCCAGACCTAGCCGGAGCTGGGGGGCTAACTAGGTGTAAACTGACACTCACTTAATTTTTACTCTTGACAAAAATCAGTATTTTCACTTATTTAGGTGAGGAAAAGATATACCATGTCAATATTTGTCATTTGTTAAAGTATATAGTGTTTCTTTGAAGGCATTGTTTGAATAAAGTCCTAATGCTTGCCTTTTCAAATGTTTTGGAAAAAAAGCCAACACAAAAAAAATCAACATAAAACACACACACACTTACAAGGTCAACAGTGTTCTTCTTGTTGGTGTCCGAGAGAGATCCAGAAACAAAATGTTCCCATTGCTCCTGCTGTTCCTCTAAGAGTTCTGCGGATGTACACAATCTTTAGTTATTTTGAAAAAAAAACAAAAAAAAAACACAAAAAGTGAGGTAGCCCCACCCACACTGCCACATGACAGAGTTTAGTGCAATGTGCACTGCAGACAGATCTGCATGTCCACTACGAATCAAGCAAATGTTTGTGTGTTCCGGCAGGGTTATGTGTTGCATACTCATTCTGTACACAGTGCTGCAGGTGGCATACAGAGGATTGCCACATTCTGTACAATGTGCAATATGTTACCTACTGCATAACACTCTACACTGAATCTTATGCCGTAAACTACATACGTCATACCACTAATGATCACAGCATTTTTATATAGCGTACCAGTTATTTGTAGCACAATGTATTTGTACCATTAGAACGTTCTAACTCCTTTCTCCAATGATTAGATTTCTTTTCCAAATACAAAAAAAAAAATGTATCAAGCAAGACAACCACAATTCTTTATTACAATAGGATATTTAATGGAATTTCAGCATCAAACTGAGGCAGTGTAAGTTTTAATAATGACTTCTAAGGAAACTAAACTATACAGATATTCTATAAGGGACTGCTGTCTTTATAAATGCACATCTGAAAAGCATAACCTTCCATTTTATCAACTTTAAACTATAAGGCTCATGAACATGATATAACAATCATTTTAAGGAAAGAACCATATCTTTCAGAAATCAAAAGTACTAATTTGCTGTGCAAACAGCTTGTTTAAAACTGAATTTGGGACAGACTGTTTGTGAGACAGATAAAAATCTAATCGCACAATTTCATCTGAAATGGTGACTTCTCCTCACTTTAGAGATTACCACTCAACTCCTTTTTGTGTGTCCATAACAGGAACAGAAGGAGAATTAGTGGGGACACAGACAGCAACAAAAAGCTTGAAAGGACTTTAACTATTCTCTACTTGTTTAGTCACACATTGCATAATCCAACGTTTCAGGACCACGCAGGGTCCCTTCATCTGGGCAGAGCATCTCTGCCCAGATGAAGGGACCCTGCGTGGTCCCGAAACATTGGATTATGCAATGTGTGCGACATTTAGCCCAAATAAATTGACTTTTTTTAAAATTTCATTTACGGAGTACTGGTGATTTATATCGTTCATTGACTGTTGTACACGGCGCCATCCGTGATTGTCACTGCGAGCACCACTATTTTTACTCGAACCGGAAGCGTTGTAGCGTCGGGGGACCTACTGTTTTCTGGAATTGGCCTCTCAGAAACCAGGCCATTACGCACCTGCAGGTGACTCACAGACCTGTGTCAATAGATCCACCTTCGGCGGTAGGGGCAAAGGGATTTCCCTTTGCAGATCCTGAAGGGCCATGAACCAAGGCCTCTTTTGCCAAAATGGCACTATTAGTATCAAACCAGTTTCCTCCCTCTCCAGCTTCCAAATGGCAAAGGCGTCCATCCCAAGACCTGTCGTTCTCTGTGAGGTAGAAGAACCGTTCCACCTTCTTGTTTGCTGCTGACTCAAACAGATCTACCTCTGGCAACCCCCAAGTCTCGACTATAAAATGGAAGGTGTGTGTGTCCTGGGACCACTCTGTTTTCTGCAATTCCCTCCTGCTGAGGTTATCTGCCAAACAATTCATGCTCCCTTTCTAATGAACCGCTGTCAGAGAAAGTAGCTTGTTTTTTGTCCAAGACAAGATCTTGTTTGCTAAGGCCTGTGACCTGGTACCTCCTTGTCTGTTTACCTAAGCCAGTGTTGTGGTGTTGTCCGAGAGTACTAGCATGTGTTTTCCCTCTTTCTGATGCTGAAAATGTAAGAGGGCCAAGGCTTCCTGCCCTCAACTCTCTCATATGGAACGACTTGTTTCGCCAAATATGATCCCACAACCCCAGGCCAATGAGAAGGTGGGCTCTCCACTCCCCAGCGCTGGCATCCATGGTGACCCCGAGTGGTTCTGGTTGACTCCACAACCTCCCCCCAGGTTCTGACTGCCCGTCCACCAAAGTAAGGAGTGTTTTACTCTGTCTGTAACATCTTGCCTGAGCACTCTGGCTGTCCTCCCAATGACTCAAGAGAAAGTTCTGAAGGGGCCTGGAATGCAACTGTGCCCAGAAGACCGCCGGCATGGCTGACGTCATCAACCCCAGAAACCTCATGATTGACCTGCAGGAGGCTTCGTCAAACATAGGTTCATTGCTTCCCCACTTAGCAAGGAGATCTTCTCCTGAGGGAGACTAGCCTGCTTTTGGTGTCTATCCAGTACACCAAGTACTTCAAAGTTTGCAAAGGGACCAGCTGGAACTTCTCCCTGTTCAGGTAGCCATCCCCGAGTAAAAACTCTGCCTTTTTGTCCATGGGGTCTTTTAATGCCCCCATATCCTCAAAAGATAGGTGTGACTGTTTAGAAACAGTAGAAAGTGAGGCGTCGAGTTTTGGGCACTTCTCCCAAATACCTGCGTCCTCTTCTGTAAAAGGGAAATCTGTGCTTAAGGCTGGAAGAAAAGAATATCCTCTTTTCAGGTTGTTCCAATTCTGATAGAATCATATCTTTCAGGGACTTATGAACCGAGAGTGTCCTTCTTTGTCTGGAGCCCCTTGTACATCTTATGTACCAAGAGCTCCTTTAACTCCTCTTTAAACCCCAATGTATCCCAAATGGCTTTCAACAATTTCCCGGTTTCAAAAGTGGGGGAACAAGTATTTTGCCCTATTTGGTTCCTGAAATTCAGCATCAGAATCCTCATCCTCAGAAGCATCAGATCGTCTGGTCCCTGTGGGGAATCCGAACAAAATCGCTAGGTGCCTCACCACCGAATAAACTATCAGTGTACACACTCGAGCCACCTTCCCCCCGAAGTGCACGGATTGCTCTGTGCCCCGGGACCTGGCCCAGCAGAACTCTGTATTATGGAGCAGAAAGACATGTAGAGACCATTTCTTCTCGCATGGTGTCCATAAGTCCTTTGAACATTCCTGTTCAAAAGGTCCTGTTCAAACATTCCAAGATGACGCCAGCTTGATGTTACAAGAGGCGCATCTTCTACCCTTCGGGCGGGAAGTACCAGCTTGAGCAAGGGGCTTTGTATCCAAGGCCTTGACCTGTGAAGACAAGAAAAACGCACTCAGCACCTTGTGCTCAAGGCCACCACTTATCACCCAGTGCCACACAATAGACACCCAGGATGCCATGGAGAGCCACCCCCACCTGCCCTCCCAAAGCAAAGCGGACCCAGCCAGGTCTTTCAATATGTCGGTGTCTCTCTCGAGTAGCGTGGCCATGAGCGCAGCAAGAGCCTCCGCACCCATGCTGGTGCCTTGCTCACTTGCCCCTCAAATGATTCCCCTTGAGCATTCCACCGCACAGCGCTGGAACACAAATGCGGCCTGTTCCGCCTACCAACACCCGATGTGCGTCACCTTTGTGAAATCACTTCCTGCACGCCAGCCGAAGCTGACGATAGTCTGCCACATCCTCGCCCCTGAAAGCAGAACAAGTCTCCCCTTCCCCCAACCCCCCCCCATCCGGAGGATCAGGTCACAGCACCAAGGCAAACGTAAGGCCCTGTCATTACCGACTGTTGCCAGCAACTGGGAGGAGGTAAGGGAGGCTCCCATGAGACATCTCCATCACCATACTTTCTCAAGCAGGGGGAGGCATTGGACTCCCTGGTTGCGACTCCTTCAGCCTCCCAATGGTCAAAGGGCACACAAGGAAGGGGAGGCCTGGAGAGGATCATAACCACAGTTATTTGAAAACACACACAGGGGGAACTTCATCTGAAGTCAACTTGCGCCTTGGAGGATGGTTGCCACCCCTTGAATTATGGAGGGAAACCTTGGCACCATCAATCGGTTGCGGGACCAATTCGGAAACCCACATATGCCAAATCTCCAGGCTCCTCTGTCCCAGTGTTTTGAGACCGCATAATGTGGGAGACCCCTGCAACTAGCACGATGGCCTGAATAAAAATAAACGTTACGATGTTCCTGTTAGCCGGAGGAAACACCAAAAAAAAAAACCTGAGGTGGGATTGTAGATGTGTCTTTTTTTTTTATCTAATGTGGATGAGTTTCCTGTTTCAGGTGGGCGGAGCCCTTTCATTGGCTGTCCTGGAAGATAACTGGGGAAATATCTATGTATATTAAAGACAACATAGCCATTATAGTTTGATTTGTATTTACATGTGAGCAGATCCAAAATGGTTTCTCTTAGTCTATACAAAGTGGCAGACACAGAGTGCTATAGTGCAAAGCTCCAAGCCAGCCTTATGTGTCATGTATATCCTTGCAAGTAGCAAAAATCTCAACAGTTTGTATCCGAGTATAAAATTATCCAATATGGCTTGTTTTATCCTTGCATATGTGCAACATAGCAAGCAAGAGATATTGTAATGCAAAGTTCAGTGCCGACCAGCTACTGTAGTTCATTTTCTCCAGCAAATTGTTCATAATAGGAGTATATGCAGGTAAATGTTGATGGGAAGCCTTAAAATTAGTCAATGAAGCTCTGTGCGTCCTGAGGCGCCGCCACTGCAGGTGCCCGTGTTACACAGCAACTTCAAATGCCATATTAACAGTAGGTATCTTAAATGCAGTGCATACACGCGATATAGGTTTCACCCAGTCCATTACAATATAGCTTGTTTGCTATGGATTCTTTCTAACGTACAGTATTTCAGACCACTAGGAAAACCTTTATGTTTGGAGGCAAAATGCCTTGTTATAGGTGACAGCAGGTTATAGGCTTTTATATCTTCCACTTGGTCAGAGATTAGTTTTTTAAAAGCTCTTAGTTTTGCCTATGTAATACATACCACAAGGGCACGTCAAAAGATAGGCAATGCCCTCTGTATTGCAACTGGCAAAATGTCGAGGTACAAAATAATTACATTCGGTATGGTGATTGTCGAACCTATCTGCAAATAGGGGAAGAACTCACATTCTTGGCACGTATAAGTGGCCCAGGATTTAAAACATTGTTTCGGTTTTAGTTGCATTATATTTGCTTCTCATTAGTAAATTCTTCAGGAACCTAGATCTACTAAATGATTTCATAGGGAAGTTTGGAACTAATGATTTGGATACATCATCTCCCTTTAATAATAGGTAACAATGCTTCTGAAGTATATTTTGCATCTCCTCTTGCGGTGTACATAATGTAGTTACAAAACGCAGCGGCCCTGATTCTGCACTATTTTCTTTTCAATCCTTTGTACTTTGAATAGGCCTTCGTTTTTCCCTCACTTTTATAGGCATTGGTGAGGGGTTCCCTTCCATATCCTCTTCTATCCAATCTAATTCTCAGTTTTTGTACTTCTTTCTAAAAAGCCTCGTCTTTAGAGCAGTTTCTATTAATCCTTAAATATTCCCCATAATGAATATTCCTCACTACATGACTGGGGTGGCTGCTGGTTGCTAGTAAAAGTTTATTGCTTGCCGTTTCCCTTCGATACAATTTAGTGTATAGCCTACCATTCTAATCCTTACAAATAAAAATATTTAGAAAGGGAATGCAGACTTAATCAAACGTAAATTTTAGATTCCAGGTGTTCTGATTTAGAAGTTTTACGAAGTCTTATTTCTTCCACCGATCGAGACCACGGAATCATAATATCATCGATGTACCTGTGCCAGGGCATCACGTGGCACAGGTAGATGGCAGTCATCTCTGGAGAATACCTCTCGAGGTCTCCTAGTATATTATTGTACAGGATCGCCCAACCGCAGCAGACCATGAGTTTCAAGGAGAAGTTTGAAAGCGTTATGGGATGAGCCTCTATTCCCAAGTGTGAACGGGGCTTAAAGGACTAAGATGAATGACATATCAGAAAACCATTTTACATCAAACCTGAGCTGCAGCATCTATACTATTACATCCCCTCCTCCCTAGAACAATGAAAATTTCCAAAAGAAAAATAAAAAAAACCACTGGAAAATTACTGGTTTGTGAAATGTTTCTCTACAGTATCTAACAAGCTTACTGTATGCATCTTTACCAATTGGAAATTCAAAGCGTTTAAAAAAAAAAAAAGAAGGATTTCATAATAGTTTTCAAGTAGTTACTGAAAAAATTAAGGTGGAGCAAAAATCTTTCAAGTTTTTATTTCTCCATACAACATAGCATTACACTAAAAAGCGAACTCCTGCTTTATTTTCTCAACAGATCTTCAGTGATTATTTAAATCAATTTGCTGTCCTCACCTTTAATCAGCTGCCCAACAAGCGATGCATTGTGTCCTTTTTCTGAGCTTTGCACCAATGCGTTTGCGATTTTGGTGAGATGCCCCATAAAACCTTTCCTCCGTCCACCTCCTGACCTAAAAAACATTTAAAAACTGATGTAATAGCAACATGGGTTGTGTAACCGAAATACAGGTTTTACAAACAAACATTCTAATGGACTGCAAATACACACACCTGCATAATAAGTTGTGGGCCTCTTCTCCAGTTTCTTAGCAATACAAACAAGCGCCCACACACAGGAAGGATGTTCAACTGTGCAACTATATTTAATAGCCTACGAGTTTAAAAAACCCTGTGCGCATTTTACTATACTATGAAATCTATACACATACTGTATATACACACACTTGGGTCTTCCCTCTGCTGCAGAACCAGAAAGTGCCTCTATACTCAATTTGGATTATTATGGATATTTTTGTGGATGAGCACTCAGGCATTTACCTTACAAATAGAGAGTGTGGTGGCTATCCCTGGTACCCACACAAAATGAAACTAAAAACAGTGTTTTCAATAAGCAAAAAAACAAAAACACAATAACAACTCACTGTTCTTTTTCATTATCCTCCCATGCAGAAAGTATCCTTTGTACAAGCTGACATTTCTGTAAAAGCTGGCATTAAAACAAAAAAACAAAAAGTAATGATTCCAACAAAACTGTTTACTTTATGAAGCTCTTTAAAACCATAAGAACAAGACAAGGCAACAAGCACAATGTTATTTTCTGAACTCAGTATTAACCAAATACAAAGTTACAGGTTCAGGCCTTCATGGGCACTTCAGGATAGACCTAAATTTATATGTAGACATTTCTAGATACCAACTTTAGATATTTGTAGTGTATCGCCTTTAATGAACATCTCTCACAAAAAAAAAAAAACTGACAAGTAATTTATGTTTTGGGTTTCTTTGTTTTGAAGAAGTTTGTTTCCTTTTACTGTTGTCTGGGGTTCATGCCTCACTTTTTGTCTCTCTGGTCACTTTCACAAAGTCAAAGTGTTCCAACAGTGGCATAGAATACAAAACGGAGGTTATAAGCCTTTTCTATTCCATCCATTTCAAAATTTGAAAAGAAACTTAAAAAAATAATCACAGAACTATGTAAAAGCTTTTATGCGTTTCAACATTTAGAGGTCCTATAATATAAAAACAAAACACACTTCAAAGTCACTTCAAAATATGAGACTTTAAAAAAATACTCAAAATAATTCAAATGAAACATCCTTACATATTTAACCAGTTCATTCTCTTGGACATCGTTTTCATTGGTTTCTTGAATAGGGATTGAATTTAAAACCGTTGTGATGCAGACCTCAATTTGTGAGTGCAAGAAGTTATTGTACATGTACTTGAAATACAGATTCTGAAACAAAGATACAAAAGTGTTAAAAAAAAAAAGGAGTTTGGTCCCTTTACGACATGCAGATTTTAGGAGTTTTAATTTCCTCCATAGCTTCAGTCTACTATAGGTTGCATGTTTACAACAATATAGAAGGTTTAATAGCTTAGGAGGGAGGAATAATACAGTGTTTCCCCGAAAATAAGACACTGTCTTATCTTTTTTTGGCTCAAAAAACCACACTAGGTCTTATTTTCGGGGTAGGTCTTTTTTTAAATGTACAACAATCCACACTTATGCATGTAGAGAAGTCTACATGTATTCATGTACAAAATATGGTGATCAGGGCAATCAGGGGTGCTGTACCTTTCCAAGAGCAATTTGCTAACCAATCGCTGGCCAGAATGAGCGAAGCGCGCTTTCACTATCGATTCCTCACAGGCGGATTGCATTTGGCATCACTCCGCCTGTGACAGGAGTCGGCACTAAAAAGAAAGCATCGGCTTATGCGGCTCTGCTCCCTCCGGTGCCGCCTCGCTTCCTCTAGCGCTGGCTTCGTTGGCACCGCTGATTCTCTCCTGCGGCTCTCCAAGTTCCCCCTTATGCCACCACCGGCCCTGGGAATGGTCACAACTAGGTCTTATTTTCAGAGTAGGTCTTATATTTTAGCAATTCCCAAAAATAGTACTAGGTCTTATTTTCGGGGTAGGTCTTATTTTCGGGGAAAAGGAATGGTGAGTTTTAGTTTCCTCCATAGCTTCAGTCTACTATAGGTTGCATGTTTACAACAATATAGAAGGTTTGATAGCTTAGGAGGGAGGAATAATAATGGTGAGTTTTAGTTTCCTCCATAGCTTCAGTCTACTATAGGTTGCATGTTCACAACAATATTGAAGGTTTAATAGCTTAGGAGGGAGGAATAATAATTGTGATGTATTTCAAATAAACTACTTACTTTAAAAGTAAAAGAAAGAATAGATTTGAATGTTGGACTTCTTAGAAAATGGCTGCTGCATTGGAAGCGTTCTGTAGTAATGGAGGAAGTAGATGGGTTTTTAACATCTGAGTACTTGACTTGCCTTTTACTCAGTCCAGTGTGCACCTCTTTCCCTAGGAACACACACAATGTACACAAAACCCCCAGAGGTCACAGGACAGACTGGCCTCTACAGGCTGCACTGGGGAGGAAGCGATTTCAACAGAATTAAAAGGAAGCACGAAGAGATGATCAGTCTCTCCCTTCTGCTTGTCCCTCCAGGCGACAAGGGGGAGCAGTCATGGAGTATGAAGTGGAAGAGTTGCTGGGTGGCTGAAAGGTGCAGTGTCTGGTGTGTTTGGTTCAGTGTCAGGAGTGCTGGGAGCAGGGAGGTTCAGTATCAATGGTGCTGGGTTGCAGGGAAATGGTGTCAGCTTGCAGAATGCCAGGGGTACTGGGTTCTTCACAGCCGTCTACTTAAAAGTCTGCAGTGAGGCTTCCCCGACCTAGTGCCACTGCATGTTGACCTAAGATAAGTGCAGGGAGGTTTAGTTAGTATGGGCAGTGGGTCATTAGGATTCAGTTATTAAGTTAGCCTTCAGACTTAAGCGTTCCGGTAATAGGATTTTATGTACTCACAGTAAAATCCTTTTTCTCTGCGTTCACTGGGGCACACAGCGGAGATCTTGATCTCTGTACCGATGAGTTATACCGCCACTTGCAGGAATAGGACGGTAGACACAAAAAAAGAAGCTCTGCGCTAGGGGTGGCTCCTGCTGGTGGCCACATCCCGATCCAAGGCAGCTCAGTCACAAAGCAGTAGAACTAAGGCACAAAGATCCAAAGCGTGCTGTGTCCTTCAATGAAAGCAGAGAAAAAGAAAAAAAAATCCTATTTTCTCTTTCATTCATTGAGGAACACATCGCAGAACTTGATAACTGTACCGATGGGATGTCTCAGGCCAGTGTACACCGAGGGGGAGAACCAATTAAAAATTAACCAGAAAACCCCAGCTCACACAAACTAAGCAGCCGCCTGTAAAAATCTGCGACAATAGCAAACATTTGCAGATGCAACATCACCTCTAAAGAAAAAAAAAAAAGAGTAAAAAAGTGTGTGCTGACGACCAGGTAATCACCTCAAAGACTTAAGAAACAGGTGCTTGATGTTTAAAAGCCCATGAGGTGCTAACCACACCATGAGTAGAACTGGGTAGTAGTAAGTAACCGGAAACGGTGGAGAGATTGTCCTAGAAGAGCATAAGCCTAATCAATTATCTGTATGTGCCAACAAGAAATGGTAGCTGTAGAAGCCTCTTCTCCTTGCTGTGGGTTCAGTAAATCACAAAAAAAGAATCTGACTTACGGAAAGATTTAGTAGCAGACAAACTTGCACCGCCTTAACTACATCCAGAAAGATGACCACTATTTTTTTAGGATGCGCTGGACGAGGACAAAGTGAGGGTAAAATATCCTCATTGAGATAGAAATCAGATATTGCCTTAGGAAGAAAGGAACATCTAGGACGAAGAACTATCTCCTCTTTGTGCAAAATCAAAAATGGAGGTTTACACATGAGGCACCTATTCCAAAACTCTCTGCAACACCATCGTGAATTATCTCAAAAGGAGAATTCTGTGAAGCCAAGAGAACCAAATTTTCGGTCCCACTGAGGCAAAGGAGACTTAACTGGAGCTGAAACATGAAAAACACCTTGAATAAAAAAAAAAAAAAAGGGAGGTACAAACCAAGGAATTTGACATTTAAAGCCAACGAAAAGGCAAAAATCTGAGCAGCCAAAAAGGCACGAGGAGAAATACTAAGCCCCTCACACCAAGAAATGCAGATTTCCAGGTTTAAGGATATAATTTTTTGAGGTGTAGACTTAAATGCTTTAAGCATAGCAGGGATCACAGATTCAGACAACCGCCCCCCCCCCCATCTCAGCACCTGCCTTCCAATAGCCGTACTGTTAAAGCCAGAGACTTGTAGGAGGATGTAATATCGGACCTTCGGACAAAAGTCTGGTTGAGGAAGAAGTCAAGAGGGGACGTCCATGACTAGCCTCGCCACGTCTTTGTACCAAGGGCGTCAAAGCCATTTGAGAGCCACCAGAATCACCAGCATCCCTTCAAACGCAACTCTACAAAAGTTTTAGAGGAGGAAAAGCATAAATGAGATTCTACCTGTCCCACGGCACCACCAAGTCATTGGTCAAATCAGGACACAAAGTTCTGCACTTTCCAAATGAATCAGGAGGCCAGAAGATCCATCAAATATCTAACAAAACTAAAGCAAAACTACTGAATGTAGATCCCATTCTCCTTGATCCAAGCCTTGACGACAGATAAAATGCCTGCCAACTGAAAACCCCTGGAATGTACACAGCAGACAGAGCCGGTTACACATCTTTCTACCCAACAAAGGATTTGAGACAGTCCCATGCTCTTGATAGGCGAGGAGCACCTCCTTGATGATTGACTTATGCTACCACAGTGGCATTGTCTGACTGAATCCTGACCGGATGTCCCTGTAGTAGAGTCGTCCAATGTAAAAGAGTTTAATCGCAATGAACCTCCTCCTGTTCTTCAGAGCATGGGAACTGGGAAATCAAGCCAAAGCGGCTCTGACCGTCCCGTTCACCTGCATTTGTTGGTCCAACGAAGAGGGTGACTTGTCCCATTGTTTAAGAATCTCTCTCTACGGAATCAGAGCACATGTACCTGGCTCAAAAGGAGGCAACCAACTAGACCCAGGACTCTCATACAAGTGCGAAACGTCACCCGTTTGCAAGAAAGCAATACCTGAATTTGAAGCTGAAGCCTGTGAATCTTTTCCAGAGGAAGAAAAAAAAAAAACCTTGGCCCGATACATCCAGGATCAGTCTGAGCTGCCTTGGATGGGGGTGTGGCCACCAGCAAGAGCCTCCCTAAGAGCCAAGCTTTTTTTGTGCCTAGCGTCCTAGTCCTGCAAGTAGAGGGATGTCTTGCTGTACTCCTTACCCGATATACAATAGAAATGTAAATGGGTGCTCGTAGTGACCTCGGTTGGCGCCGTAAATACAGATACATGATCAGAAATGTCACCAACACCAAGATGACTTGTGCAACCAGGAAACGTCCATTTATTGACACTATAGCCACTCGGATGCCACCACTTTCAGGGCTGCGCAGGGTCCTCTTCATCTGGTCATTCTGAGCCTGATGAAGGGGAACCTGCACAGCGCGAAAAGCGCTTGCATCAGAGTGGGAATGGGTGCCAATAAATGGACGTTTCCTGATTGCACACGTCATCTTAGTGTACTGGTGACATTTCTGAACTAGTCCTGCATGTGACGGTATAACCCATCGAAACAGAGATCAAGATCGCTGCTGTGTCCTTGGCAGTATTCCCGAGTGTGGCTCGGGGTTTATTTTCATTACCAAAAGCAGTAACCCCGAGCCATATTTAAACGTTAAAAAAAACGCCCAAAAATGAAAAAAATGGGGGGAAAATGTGTCTTCATGTGCTTTCCATGTTTAAAAAAAAAAACTTTCAGCTTATTAAATCTCAGCTGTTTTATACGTTTAAAGAAGAACTAAAGTAGAACGCCTTGCAGTGGGGCTACCCGTGCACTGAAAGTGCTAACTGCTCGTTCTTGTCTAGCTTTGGGAGAGTATAAATATTTTTAGCACCTAGTCAAAACGAGCACTTGACCTTTGCAGTGCGGAGGTAGCCCCAGTTCAAGGCTTAAGAAAAAGTTTTCCTGAAATAGTTCTTTTAGATCTTGGCAAATGTGTTGAAGAAGTTCTCAGTTTAACCACTTGCTGTGCCGGAGCAATTTCGTACTATTTGCACACACATGATAATCTGAATTTTTGGCTAGAAAACAGCTTCAAAACAATTATATATTTTCTGAATGCAGAGGCCCTGTAGAATAAAAAAAATGCTAGTTGCAATTTTTTATGTCGCACAGTATTTGCACAAAGGTTTACCAAACCTGTATTTTTAGGATAAAATACACTAAAATGAAATTTAGTGCAGAGAAACAAATACCTATTTTTCTGGTAAAATATAAAAGATGGGGTCATGTCAGGTAAATGGATACCAAACATGTCAAGCCTTAAAATTGCGTTCACCTATGAAGCTGCAAAAAAACTTCAATACCCCAAATTTAGCATAGGGGACACTTTAAAAGCTTTTACTGCATAGGCGCACCGATGCGCGTTTGTGTAAGTATGTGCGTGCAGGTGGGGGGCGGGGGACTTTAAAAAATTTTCACTTTAAGTTACTTTAATATATTTTTTTACACTAACCTTATTGCCATCACATAGGGGGCCAAGAAGCCTCTTATGCAATAACAGATAGGGTGTGACAGGTCCTCTTTACGGAGACATCAGTGTCTTTCAGACCCGTCACCTAGGGATCCGAAAGAAGCTGAGGAAGCAGAGGCCTGCTTCCCCACCCTCAACTGGCTCCAAGAGCCGGAGAATGTAAATAGTGACACCGGCAGTTATGTAAAACACATAACTTCGGGGTCCAGTGATCGGAGTAGAGACCTGCAGCTAGGAGCTTGCTGATTTCTCTCCGGTCGTTGTGGGGGGTCCCGCCATGCCGGTCCCCGAACGGGGGCAGCAGAGCCAGCGTAGGGGATAGCACAATTCGCTGATCAGTACAAACAATCCAGCGACTGTATAGACCCCGGATCACTTGTACCTGAACAGCTGTCACCGGCTGTTTAAAATGACACCAAGAACACGGCTGCAGCAGCACCTGTGTTCTTGGTATAACCACTTCCGCAGGCCGCCGTATATTTATGTATTGGGGCCCGGAAGTGGTTACAAGATGGATGCTTTTCTTGTTAAAAGAATTATACATCAAATTAAAAAACATACTTCAAAAATAAGGAAGCATTCAAACAGCATTATATTAATGTTTCCACAACTTTTCCCTCACCTACCATTATGCCAATCTAAATCAACTTACACCCTCCCCCCCTCCACCGTATACTCGCACCAAAGCCACCGGCTTTCTGTTGCAATGTTCATCTGTGGCAAGCTAGGAGTAAAAAAATATGTTATTAGTGATGGGGGACTTCTGGTGCTGATTGCTGGTATCTGCAAAGATCCCTGCAGACTAAATCAGCAGTACTGTCTATAAATGCCTGGTCCCACCCACTGTGCCTTCACACCAACCCAATGCACTCTAAACCACTGCAGCTCGCACCCATCACCCTTCCCCTGCACCACATGTGCACACCAACTCCCCACTCTTAATGTGCCTGACCGCCCCCCCTTTTACACTCCACCTCTCCCACATATCTCCATTTTGCTCACGACTGCACTGATTCCTGCCTCTACACACACACACACGTCTCATTGCTCACTGCTACTGTATCAATACACACTTGTGCTCTTGTGATTTAAAGTGTCTACATACAATGAAGTCATAACTTTAAAAGAGACTACTTGCTGAAGAAAATTCATATTTACCAGCATGGTATTGATGGAATCAAGTTTTATAAGTTCCTGGTTTAAAGCCCTGTTATTTGCATTTATTGTGCTAGCAAGCAATTTCACCACATGGAGACGCGTATTCCCCAACGGTGGATCAAGAACACCCCAAGTTGTAAGTAAACTTTGTTTCTATAAAAGGAAAAAGAAATTAATTCTATTAAGATGCTTACATTCAGACAAATATATCATGGGAATAAAGGATGGCTAGAATAATTTTCTAAACTACTTTATAAAAGTATATAGAGCTGGCAAACAGGATCAATTCCCAAATGCACAATGTCAGCATTTGTGAAGGTTCTCATTCATCCAGGTCATGGTATATCTGTAAAAAATAAGTCAAGGCAACTGGAAGACGTTTCACTGGACATCCGACCAGCTTTCTCAATTCAGAATGACTTGTACAAAAATTCTCTGGGAATAAATATGGTGATGGTGAAATATGATGTTGCTCCAATCCACATCATCTGTAAGTAACAACCAGGTGTTGATTGAATTTGCATAATTGGAGATAGGAGGTGTTATTAAACTGCCCAGAGAGGTGTTAAAATAGGATTGTATGTGGCAGACAATAGATGTCTCATGCCCCCCCCTCGATTCAAGCTTGGCTCCTCCATTTTTACATAAATAGCCTCTTTCACACCTCTTTTAAACCAGTCCTCCTCGCTGTCTAGGATGCGTACTTGACTGTCTTCAAAGGAGTAACCTTTTTCTTTTAGATGTAGGCATACTGCTGAATACTGACTAGAGGGATTGACTATTCTATGCTGTGCCATACGCTGGTGTAGCTGCTGTTTTGTTTCACCGACATACAATTCTGAGCACTTCTCACCGCACTGGACTGCATACACTGTCGGTGTAACAAAACAGTAGCTATACCAGTGTATGGCACGGCATAGAAGACCCAAACCCTCTGGTCTGAATAGAGGTGGGGGATGAGACATCTATTGTCTGCCACATACAATGCTGTTTTAACACCTCTCTGGGCAGGTTAATACCTCCTAGCGCCAATTAAGCAAATACAAACACCTGGTTGTGACTAACAGATTATGTGGATTGGAGCAACATTAACCAGATTTATTCCCAGAGAATGTTTGAGCAAGTCATTTTGAATTGAGAAAGCTGGTCCAGTTGCCTTTACTTATTTTTTTACAGATGTCAGCATTTGTTATATTATCTGAAGTAAGTTATCTCCCAACATGTACAAACATACAGTAAATATTGCCTAGGTGTGGAAAATTTATATTTCTCAAAAAACTTTTGAGATAATAAAACCGCTCCAGTTCTTGCTCTCCTCAAAAGCACCTCATTGAAATTTACAGACCACACTAGAAAAACTGAAGCAATTTTTTTTTTTTTTTTTTTTTAAAGCTGAAATCCAGATAAGTGGAATACATATAAGAGCTGCAGTACCTTCCCAAAGGGTTTGTATTTCTGTCCTGAGATTTATACAGCTTTGCAACACACCACAGTCCTGCTCTGCAGGAGAAGGGAAAATAACAGCCTCCTATTACCAGCATGCTTCAGTTTTGTAGCAAAGCATTACTGAAAGCATGATTGTTAACGTAAGGCTTTTCAGTACATTTTCAATGTCTACAAAAATCCAGTTTTCTTTACCATCCATTGGGTGATATAGTAAAGCTGGCCATACACTTATTTTTTTCGTTCAAACTGCAGGCTGAAAAAAAAAAATGGAAAAAAAAATCCTCCATCAGAAGGCCTGTTGTTGCCTTTGTATTCTAACAGTAGCCACCAACCACTGTCAGATTACCCGGAGAGAGACGGTAGCAGATTGGCTGCCCACTCTGTTCATTTGAAGATTTTCTAACTGGCTCCTTCGATTAGCTGATGTCGGCACTAAGGGTGCCGACATCAGTACCCACAATGCAAATTTCGGACGGTTCTTGACTAAAATCGCTTATGTATGTCCAGCTTAAGTCTGTCACAGTAAACTTTTGAGATGTCCACAAGCCGTCCAACTGAGGGGTGGGCATCAACAAATAAACACTAACAGGCCCAAAGAAAACAAGAGAATTGGGGGATGCCTGCAGCTCAAATAGCTGCCTAAAGTACCTTGCACCCAAAGCCGCAATTAGATGAGCCAGAACCATCCACCTAAAATTTAGAGATTGTGTTACCAAAAGTCCAGATGGCAGCCTTACAAACCTGAGCAACAGTTGCCGGATGCCAAAAGTCCAAAAAATACTCGAGTGCACCTTGACAGGAAAAGTTGGAACCCGATCTTTGAGACCATAGGCTTGCATATGCTGGTATGCCCGAGCTAGTGATAGATGGTGGAAAGAGAAGCCAGTGCATCCTTTCGGGGTCTAGCAGGGATGACAATTGGGGAATTAGTCTGTCCGAAAGAAGCAGTGACTAAGATCTAGGACAGTGGTAGCGAACCTATGGCACGCAGGGCCCTCTCTGCTGACACATGAGCCCAGGTTCAGGGACCACCAATGAAAATAGATCCGACTGTCCCAGATCGCCTGGGCATCCGATCTGGGCCAGTTACAATCAGGCAGTGGCCTCTAAACAGGCTTATTAGACGGCTGCTTCCAATATGCCTGTTTAAGGGGCACTGCGGCTGCCTGATTATGCCCTGCCCGGATCGCTTACTGAGGCGATCCCGGACGGTCGGATCCATTGAGCAGCAGCTTAAAATTAACAAAAAAGTGAGACATGCTGGTAGGAGGGTTATTCCCATGGTTGGCCTACAGTTTGCCAGGGTCCAATCCTCCTGTAAGTGGTACTATAATGCAAAATGTATAATTTCCTGTGCTCCTCAATGGACAAGGTGACAGACTATAATGTCTTCCCACTACAAAAAATGTAAATGAATTACACTAACCTAATGACTTAAACATCCCATACATGTTAAAGTTACAAGCATGTAGGTATACCTTAGGTGGATCAATAAGAAGTTGATGAAACTCTGGTAAACGCTGCTTGATAGCCATTAGTGTGCCTAAACTGGCCTGGGTATTAGAGGACCCATCTAATCCAGAGGCATCCATTTCGAGCCCTTCCAGGGTGCAGTAGAAGGCAGTTAATCCACCCAGCTCAGCTCTGCAAAAGAACCAAGGATACACAAATCAAAAGAGAAAAATATATGGAAAAAAATATATAAAAACAAAAACCAGCATAGGAACCTTTTTAAAATCAAAACTTCACAACTTTAAAACTAAACACCACATAAATATAAATGTAAATAAATATTACACAGATTTTTGTTTTTAATGCAAGCAACCCCCTGTATAAGAGAACTTGGGATTGGGAAAGGAAAAGCCAGCAAAAAAAAAACCAAACAAAAACAATGGGCTAAATGCAATAAGCTACTTTAACCACCTGCTGCTTCGAGTGCGGGTGTGCGGTTTTAACGTCCAATCCCGTGCCCACTAGTCAGCGGGCACGAGCGGGAAATCAGCCTGGAATGTAAACAGCCAGCGATGGCTGTTAACATACAAGCGTTCAGGGTGCGAGCCCGGGACCAGCACAGCAGCTCTGCAGCCGGAGATCAATACACGATCTCAGTTTGATCTCCTCCTCCTCTTCGGAATGCAGGAAGTGATGTGTATTACATCACTTCCACATTCCTCTGTCACTCTCCGGTACAGAAACCGAAGATAAGCTGGTGAAGCAGATCTGCGCTTCATCAGCTTCTCTGGGGGTCCCTAGGTGACATTAGGGGTCTTAAAGACCCATGATGTCTCCATAAAGAGGATCTGACACTGAAAATTGGCTATCACAAAGGGGGCTTGTTAGTCCCCTATGTGATAGCAATAAAGCTAAGTGGAAAAAAAAAGATTTAAAAGAATGG